CTCCGAAGAGTACTGTGGGCTCATCCAGGCCCGGCTTGGCCCCGGCCGAGGTGAGCAGCGCTAGTTGGCCCAGGCCGTTGTAGACCTGAGCGACCCAACAGAACGCAGGCTGCTGGGGCCGAAGGCATAGGACAAACCACAGGAAACTTTAATGTGTCTGTAGATCGGAACCAGTTTTTGGTTTGTTCTCATTGCGGGAGTTTGACCAGTTTTGGGGAAGCGACCCAAGAAAAACCATAAATCAAACTTAAGAAAGTCGAAGAAAACCATCGCTTGCGGTTCAACTCCTTGGGACACTTCTGATTGGGTTCGAAGTTCCAGCGCGTCCAATTTTTTGGCGCCATACAGCTTCGGTGTCCAAATCTCCACAGGGTGCGTTGCAGGGAGCACCCGGAACATCTAGCCCACCAAAACCGGACCGGGAAGAAGCGTTCGGATCCAAGATTTTGGGCAATGTATCTCACCCTCTCAAATTTGAACGCATTGGCTTGACCAGTTTCCAGGCTAATCAACCTGCCACTGGAGGTGGCTTTGACTGCATGGTGGACGCCTTTGACTTTTGGCAAGGATCCGACTTGTAAGTTTCCTCAAGTGAGCTGATGTAATGTACTTGGACCCCGAAAGGGCATTTTTGGCTTCATGACGGATCTGGGCAAATCACAAACCTGAAATAAGGAATAGTCCCCAAGAGAGAAAACAGGAACCTTCTGAGGTGAGGTCTCAACCAAAGGAACGCCCACAAACAGCACCTTGGGTGATTTAGTCTCGAACTGAAAGCGTTTGCGAGGATAGGCGTGGTTCTGTGGTACATACTGAAGCGTTTGAAGTGGGCTGTTTGTTGGGTGCTACTTGCTGGCCAAGCCTAGCATCAAACTCCTTGTTTGGAAAACCAAAAGTTCTGCCTTGATCATCGAGGCTCGGAATCTGTCTAAGGCAGTTGTCAGATTCAAAAAGGGAAATGATGGTCACCAGGTAAATCCGCTAGAACAAGCCCAGGGACAAATCGTAATGCTACCTGGGGCTCAACTGAAAGGGGGGCTTCCCATCATGCGTTCCTGGGTTGAGATTCTCTATCCTACCATCGGCATCCTGTTTCAACTTCCAAACAAGGTCCGTTACAGTAACACCCCGGCATCCTCGAAATCCTTTGGGTAGGACAAACAACAAAATAATAAGAAGCGAGGCGCCAGGCCGAAGAAGGAGGTGACAGCCACAAAGGCGCTGCCAAAGATCAGCGTCTGCAGGCCCGGCTGCTCCGTCTCCAGTAGGAAGACTGCCTTCGGCAGGGGTGCACAACTTGTCTCAAAATTCCCAGGTCAATATGTCGCTACGAGTACTACACATTGAAGCAGATTCATTCCAAATCGATTGCGATCGACTCTTCCGGGCTGCCAACAACCTCAAGATTTGCAGCAAAAAGGGCAATGCTAGAGCTGCCAGTTGGACCCGAAAGAGTTGACTGCCCCGCCAAAACGGCAAGCTCAGCGTCTTCGTTGCCACGCTCTTCATGCCGAATGCTGGCGACTCATTACCCATCCGAGGCTTTGAAGCTGGCTCCGGCTCAGTCGCATCAGTTGTGTCCTGCTCAATGTGTTTTTGGCAGTGCGAAAAGCCCTTCCAAGGCTTTTCGAACCTGTTCGTCCCTTTGAACTCGCACAATGGAGGGTTTCACATCAGCTTTGGAATTCTTCGGGAAGCTTCTGCCAACTTGTCATTGTTTAGGATTCGATCTCGCCGCTGCCGTGACTGCTCATTGATGATGGCCTGCGTACCTACACAGGCTGGTATTGCTGTGTCGCACTGCACAGCTTGGCCCGAGACTGTGCCGGCACTCCAGTTTCAGCAAAAAGTCCTGAGCCATCTGAGTCCCGAGCCGCCCATGCCTCACTGCTTCTTTGTACTCATTCATCAATGCCGTGCGCGCAGACAATCCACCAGAACTTGCTGCTCAGGTGTGTGATCTCAAGATATCTGCTTCAGGGTCACCGTCGCTTTGAAGCTTTCTTGGCTCTGCTGCTCTTGTGGCTTCACATCCAAGGTGTCTGCGCCGCACATGGTGCCCACTGTTGAGCGAGCCTGCCCTGATTTTACCCAAAGGAGCTGAATACCAATATTATCAGTCGCACACCTGACATCCTTGCAATTCTTCCGCATTCTCTCAGGTTGAAGCCCCCACCCATTCAACAGCAAAGCTGACTAAAAGATGGCATGACGTTTCAGTGTTTTCAATCAAGTGGAAGCAGTTTTGATTTGACAAGCGCTGCTTTCTTTTGTGGCTTGGGTGGATCAACCAGGACTCTGATTCCTGAATCTTCAAAAAAGTCGCAGAGCCGGCGAGCCATCCAAATAAGTCAAAACCACATAAGGACCCACATGAGCATGCTTAATTTCGGGCTGTTCAATGGCTGACATAACCCCATGAAGATGGGCATCTGGACTGCACTTCTTTGCGGTACTGATCTTCACCCCAGGTGTTGATTGCGTCCGAAGGACCGGGAAACGGAAGACCAGCTTGGCCTTTCGGAACTTTGACCTGGGAACCTGTCGGGCTGTTCTACATCCTGACGACGGACTGCGCATTCCCGGCTGTCTGTTTTTGACCATTCTCACGCGAACCCTTCGAGATCCAGTCAATTCGTTCCCCGCCTTCCTTGAGAAGGTCTCCCCGGAGAGCAAGTCCTGGGACCGTTTGCGCGCGGACAGCGCAAGCCGCGACCTCAAGCAACGCGGCACACGCTTGGCAATGAGTCAGTGGCGGGAGGGGTGATGGGAGGCACGCTGATTTCCCGTAGAGTCATTCAAGTTGGCGTGCTCGGCACAGAACAGGGCGCCATCTCTTGAGGGTTCCTAGCCCATGCCTAGAGTCCCTCACGTTTCTCTCTGCCTGCCCGAATGCCTGGGGTCTGATTCACATGTGGTGAGGTGCCCCCTGGTTGCGTACATGACTTCCATTCACGGGACACCATGCCCCCAAATTAGAAGGTCGGAGCTCCCATTTAAAGGATTTTCTCAAGTCTTTGTTTTGTGTTCCTTTCGTTGACCGACAGGGAAAAACAAGACTTGACAGTCCTTCGTGGAGGCACGCTTGCAACTCCTTTCCGATGAGCATAAGCAGAACAGGGGACTGGTCAAACGTCGCAAAAGCCGTTTCATTCGCAACAAAGGAGACTCAGAACGGGAAGTCAAGACTAGTTATCTAGAATTGTCGCAACAGCTGATTGCTTTTGATCCTTGAACGGTCCACTACTCGACTGGTGACTGAACAATTGAGACGGCCTCCACTCGATGGGCCTCCACTCGACTGTGACTGATCCACCACGGAAGATATCCAGTTGTTGTAATTGTCATGTCGACGCCACTCGAAGACCTTCCCAATCACTTGTCGTTTTTTGAAGGGGGTAGCACTTCTAGAAAGGTATCACCAAAGTGGGCTTTCCCAACCACTGATGCCCACAACCCAGCCCCCTTTTGGTTTCCTTCCGGGGAAACTGAAAAGTCTACGGTTGCTATTGATGGCACCCAGGGATTTGTGCGAAGGAGAACGCCCTTGCATGGTTGTCCTCTTTGGTTGCAATCTTGAAAATCACCTACAAAGGATACTTGCAAAAGTCCTCGCCCCATATTGGATGCTTTATGGAGAGCCCCTTCTTTAGACCTCCAACTTGGGTGACCTATCAAGAGGCTGCTAAAAACCAGCTGGGCGCACAGGCCCCCGTTGTCCAGCCTTCGTAGCGGGGCTTCACTGCGCCGGCTGGGCACAAAAGCGAGACCTGGAGCCAGGGCTTTTTCTGGGCTTCTCGTTTGGCCAAGACCCATGCTCGCCCATCACGCATGCGGATGTGGATCCGCTGACTTACTATCTTCATCTGTCAAAACCGCACATGACTAAAATTATGTCTGAAAACCCACACACAACACAACCAAGTCCCTAGTACTAGTATCTTCCTGAGGGCTGTCCTAGATTAGTTTGTCTCCGCTGAAAGATAGTGATTTGTCACACTCAGTAAGCTTCTTGCCGAAGAATCGATGACTTGATCCTTCCAGCACTTCAACCATCCGATTTGATGCCAAAATCCACCAATGTCAAATCTCCTCGGGTCCATGGAAACCCCTACAATGGCATCACATGTTCAGTGTCCAGCCTGAGCACAGAAGCGCAAGCAGCCAACGGCGTCTCATGGTGCACAGCTCAAGCCTGCACCTGAGCCCTCCGATTGGCTTATGAAGCCCAAATTGCCGACCAAATCTCTGCCAACCCGATGATATTTTTCGAATTTCGTGCATGACTTGCTTGGTGGGAACCGGCGATGCTGGAATGCAGCTTCAGCTTCATCGTGAAAGTCTACTCGCTAGAATCCATGGGGGTGAACGCCGTATCCATATCTTGACTTGTGGCCTTCAGCGGCGGAGCCAGTCGACATGCGGGGAGAAGCCAAATCCACGAAGCCTTAATCATGGCCGGGAACCTCGCTGGAGACATTCAAACTTCAGCTCAGTACAAATCACCAATCAATATCATTCGATATCACGTGCCTCAACATCATTTTCTACAATACCCTCCTTGCTCTGCAAAACAACCCTCGCAACTCATTTTCATGTTCAAATGAACATTACATTTACATGTTCAATATCTGAACCCGACTAGGATCAAAGCTCACGTAATCAACAACATGATCACACATTTCGCGCGGACATGTTCGCTATTATAAAATTCCTTAGCCACGATCACATTTGGCTACAAGGTGTACGCAAGGCAAAGCCCTCATTCGAGGGCCGCCTTGTGAAACTCTATGATGACACGATCTGGCTGTCCCAAACTCATCTCAAAGCACCGCAGGCAAGGATTTCAGCCAAATTCTCGTGAAATGCCATGTTGGTTGGCAGCCAATGAGCAAAGGGCAGCGGAATCGCACATGAGAATGCCAACGCCAGCCTTCAGCATCGAAGGGCCAGAAACAACAACTGGAAATTGGAAGTGTGCGGCTAGCAAGCGCACCACTTCAAGAAGTCGTTCCGCCAGACTCGGACTGCCAGCCGGGCTTTTGTGAATTTTGTGGATCTTGTCGGGAGTACAGGCACCTAAGTTCTGATACACTCTTGACAGGAAACAATCAAGCAATGCTTGCCAGGTCACATATACTCTGGATATAGCTGGCCAGTGTTCGACACACAGTACTCGCGAGCATCTGTGTTGAAGGCAAACTTTCGGTCTCCAAGAACCTCAAGCAGCCGCACTTCGCAAAACCCCTGTGCTTGCTCCTCTCATCCTATGCAGCCAGCCAGTAGTGGGGGCCACTGACTCAATGTGCAAGACAGCTCAATGGCATCCATCGCAACACGTGCAACAATCCAACTCAGAGTTTGGGATTTCCAAGTCAAGTGCAGCGATGCAAAACGCGCCTTGCATTCAAGGAGCACTGTCAAACTTACCTTCTTTGACCACGTGCTTGGCCGAAACCATGCGCTTCAGTCTGCCTCCTCGCCATTTGGTATACCTGCAGCAATAAGCCATGATGATCCTTTGATTGCTCTGCTCATCCATGCTTGACGTGTGAGCCGCATGCAGCATTCTTTTTCCTCGTGATGGTATGTTGGACAAACCGTGCTGGCCTCAGCGTGTACACCCCAAACTAGACGATATTTACTCAGTGACTCATATCCTTCTTTGCCATGCAAGCTAGGTACGTGATGGTTGCTTCTTCATTTTGGCACGACTATCTATTTGACCAAAACATGTCTTTGCTCGTGGCAATCAAACCCTCCGAGGGCAAACATGGCAAACTTTAAACGCAGACAATGAAGCAGCCTAAACAATCTGGATGGTACATCGTGGGCTGGGACAATTCGAAACACGCCTGTCTGTATTCATTATTTCCAGCCTGAGTTTGGGCATTGAGGGACCTTCATCATGGATGAGCTTGTTTTACCTCAGGTGAGCTCGTAACTATTTACTGCAAACCCATCCCAACCTGGCAAATGGACAAGAAGACTGAAACCTGCGGTCCCCTGCATAAAATTTGAGCCACACCCACATGTCACCGATCCAAAAGGGTCCATTGGGCCACCGTGAAGTCGGATCCGAGATATCGCGCCTAGTCTCCACATAGACCCGGCCCAAGGCAGCTCTGACCAAAAGGACAGCCTTACGTGAGCGACTCGCACGCGATCCGGTTGAAACCTGGGGGTGTACGGGCGGGTGGTCGTGTCTTAAGCCTTAGGGCTTAGGGGCTTCTGTTCAGCCTTTCCTGGGGAAATCCTCGGGCCCGTGACCACATTGTTCATGTCAGCATAAGGTGATGCTTGAACTGGGGAAATGCAGCCCTGTCGCGATGCTGGAAAATTGGAGCTGCCCCCCCCCCCTTCCGGCTTTTGCCCATCGAGTACCCGGCATTTGCTTCCTCGTGGAAAGCGTCTCAAAACGAGCTGCGGCCGCTGTTCATGCCTGTATATTCGTTCTCTGCTGCAAATCAACCTGTTCGAAATCCATTGGGGCCGAATTACAATCTGTAATCCGCTTAATCCTTGTTCTGGTTGGAAATCTTTTTGATCCGCAATCCGCGCTGCAAAGTGTGCTCTGAAACCCGCAGAGTCCAACCCGTAAACGGCATCACCCGCAATCCGCTAACTTGGACATCTCTTCAAATGAAACTCCTCTTTTGAACCCACAGCCCCTGTCCCGTGTTTTCCTCCTCGTCCGATTCTTTGGCTGAGCGGCCCGAAGCCCATCCTGCCCTTCCGGCGCGTACTTGTCGGCAAGGAAGGAGGTCTCAGCAAAGTACGCGCCTTCCAGGGCTGGACTTTGTTTTGTGTGAGGACTTGTTCTCGGTTTGGGTCGGTTTTGAAGGGAAGCGAAAAGGAACACCCCAAGAACATCTTCGGGGGTGAGGGACGGGGCTAAGGGGAATTGCCTAGAAAAGGGAAACCGAAGCAGAATCCGCCTCGAGGTCCGCAAGCTCCCCACGTCACATTGTTTACAGTTGCGCGATTTGATAGGTTCCAATGATCTACTGCCACTTTTGGTCCAAAGAAGTTGGAGAACAGGGGGAGTGACAGTTCACAGCGATGGACAACATTGAACTCTTCCCAGTGCCCCCAGTATTGGGAATTTGGCAGGCCCCGTCGCTGTGTCCTCCCCTCCAGCTTCTCACATCAGTGTTTTCCAAGAAGGAACACCGACACCGGCCTAGTGGCTTGCAAGGTAAAAGCCAACGTTGCCATAAAACAAAACAGCTTCGAAGAACTTCTCCCACGGAGCCCGGCAAACCCTCAATTTTGGAAGCTATTATGTCTCCTTTCATTGCCTTGGGGGTATGTCAAGTTCCCCGGCGAGTATCCAATTGGTGTCAACATCTGGAAAAGGACCTTGGGTGTTTTCAAGGGGGTACCAGAGAAACCGGGGGTGTTGACTGCTGGAAACCGACCTGTGCGAAACCAAAAAAACACCCTGGAGCTGAGGGGACGACATGGGGAACACTCACCAAATTGTCTTGGCCACTGGGGGGTTCTCCCCGAGTTCCCATCATACCACCGGTCGTGACCATTTTGCCATCACAAGGAAGCTTGCCTGTATCTGCAGGTGGAACCCAATCTTACTCGTGAGTCGTTATGCTTTTGCCAGTAACAACCCTGCCCAGCCTCTGCCCAGAGCTTTGGCATTCACCGTCCTCCAGGTGGCAACGACATTGTTTGACCCAGCGCAGCCTTTTCCATGCAGCCAAGCAGCCCTGCCCGCTTCATGTCAAAGTGGTGTCCTCAGAAAGCAGGACACGCGAATGCAATCAAACACGACGTGTAGCAGAGACTGTCCACAACAAAACTGCACCGTGCGCTCATCTCAGCCAATCACCTATAATGCTCTCGGCTGATTTGCGGTCTGTGCCGTGCCATAAGTATGCCTTCAGGGTAGCATGACTTCGCGCCTCTCAATCCAAGACATGCGCGACCCACCTCATTGCACTCGAGGCGAAGCCGACTCCGGAAGTCATCCGAGGCGACTCGCCTTGGTTGAGACGCGCACGCAACCCGGAGCACTCTCCAATGATGGACAACGTTTCCCCCCGGTCTATCAGCCTTCAACCCCATGTTCAAACATGCCAAAGCCACTCTGGGCTCACCCTGCAACCACCCCGGGTCAAGGAGAAGGTCCGGGCAAAATAAACGATGAGGCAGTATTTCCAATAACTGCATGGTTGCCAATTTAGACTTGCATGTGCAACCCCAAATCTGGGATTCGAGTCTTGTCTCTGACAAAAATCACGTATCATTTTACATGAATGCCTCAAAATGGGGAACCCATGTTAAAGGAATCTACGGACATTCGATGTCGCGCATGCCACCTGTGGCCGTGGAAAAAACAGGCACCGTCTTTTGGTAGAGTTCAACCAGGCTGGTCGACCCCCAAAAGGTCTAATGACCTGTTGCTGGTAGGGAAGCAGTCATTTTCCCAAAGGTTTACAGGTTAACTGGCACAACGCCAAATTAACACGGGCCCCAGTGGTTTTGGCTGCCGGGACTGCCCCTGACACTTGACCGTTCACTTACCGGATTGTGGCTTTGGCTTAAACTCAATCCCCTCAAATGGCAAATAGGCTGAATCTACATGCCCTTCAGCCGTGGCTCAAGTGGGTGTGTCCAATTTGAGGGTACCTTTTAGCTTAAAGGAAAAAAGGATCTTCCCCCCAAAATGGGAGGGTCTTGCAAACCTGGGGTCAAAAACTGGCCGGCTTCAATAACCCAGCTTTGGGGGCTCCATATTGGAGACAAAACCAAGGGCTCCCACAACGGGTACACAATGTAAACAGAACATCGTATCAGATTCTGGCTATTCTGCCTACTCTAAGATATAAAACGGATCAAGCGAGACCCCAGAAACGGAACAGGCCCTTTTGGAGAACCCAGGAGTCTCGAGTCGGGCTCCGAATCCGAGGCGCCAGGTCAAAGGCCTGGGGCACTCGGTCCCGGAGTGGGGCGTTCGGATCACCTCGGTGCGTGAAACGGGAAACACTTTCGGACCTCGTGGACCGAGGCGGCTCCTCGTGGACCTCCGCCTCCCCTTTTCTTTTTTTCCCTTCTTCTTGCTAAGGCGGCTAAGGCGCATCAGGCGGCTCGTCCTAAGCTCCAGGTTTTATGGCACGCTCAAGCGCGCTTTGCACACTTCAGCACGCGCCTCTTGTGTGCGAGCTTCCGCAAGACATGCTACGCTCCTTGCCGGCATCTCGGTGCAACGAAGCATGTGAAAGCTGCATGGCTCAAGCTCACACTAAGCCGTGTCCTCTCGTATGTGTTCCACATCTTGGAATCCTCGCAGGTTGCATTGGGACTTTGGGACTCAAGTCTTGTTCCCCGACTTTCAATCAAGTGGATCACTGCCTCTGTGACAACACTTTCACGTTGTCACTTGGAAGGAGCTTCCCGCAAGTTGTCACAGAGATCCCCCGAAGAGCCAAAGGCCCCCTGTTTTGCACATGTTTTCCACATGACTCCAATCCAGCGCTGAACTCCGGCATCACACGTCCTCCACACGCAAGAGCTTCTGGATCTTGCATCGATGCGGTGCCTGGAAGCCAAAAGGACATTTCCAACCATAGAAGTAGACATTGGCCAACAACTGGGCGGAATGGGTACTTTTTGGAACAACTGGAAGGGTGAAGGGAATTACTGCGTAGAATGTATGCAGCCCTTTTGCCAACCCTCGTAAACCTTCTGATCCTCCACTTCCATGGTTAAAACAAGGGTCACCAGTAAACAGCAGGAAGCTTGAGTGGCGGCTTCCCATCTATATTTGCAAACCAAAACCACCAATTCGGGAGGCCTGAGTTTTATTAGATAGCTCCGGATGCTTCTAAGCCCCGCGTGAGGTTTGGTTGGGACCAGCCAAAAGGCTGTATTGGAGTGTCCATGACCCGAATCAAAAATGGGCGGGATTTCCATGGCTCCTTTCTCTTGGCGAATGACCCATGTTTATGTAGGGGCAGTAGATTTCCACCTCACAAGTTGATCAATTTACAGGCGGGTTCCAGTGAAGAGTGCCACTTTTGGAGGTCCAAAAGCGGGAATGGCTCGGAACCCTGAGGTCAGACGAATCCACAAACACATGGGACCCTTTGTGCTCCGCTCGTGACTGAGAACTTGCCTCGCCGGGAGCATACATGGTCCGGTCCATGATCTCCTGAGCCGAAGGACACGAACGCAAAGGGCGGAATCCAAGTAGTCAATAGGGGGTCAATAGGGGGTGTGTAGGGGGGCAGTAGGGAGCCACGAGGGAAACTCCGGAAAAACTCCAATCGCTTGTGGGCTTGCGAAAACACGGGTTCTTGAGCACCCTGCTCCGTACATACCCTCCGAACCATCCCTTTGCAGCTTGGCGGAACATCTCACCAAGCTATCTCCACTTCTCAACAAGCCTGAGTGGACTAGCCACCCAAAAGTCCAGGAATGAAAGCCAGAGCAGTGCTCCTCATATCCTTGCCTTCAAGCATCACCTCAAAAGCAAGCACAATCAAGATTGCCCGTTCCAAAGGTAAATAGTGTGTAAACTGCACGGGAGGGCATTCTTCGGACCTACCCTAACGAACCTGACGAAGGGACCCTCACTCGAAGCGTTGACACCATGGGATGGGCTTCAAAATGGAGCCCACAAGTGGGACATCCCTGAGATTAACCCTGCGTCGCCGCAGTGACAAAATGGGGCTCTGTTTGCTATGGCTTTGTCTTTGGGAGTTCCGAGCACTTTTTGGATCTTTGCTTCCTTCAAACCCAACTGCGAAAATTCGCGGGCGCTGGCGTCCTGTACGTGGGTAAGCTCTTCCGTTCCGCACTCCACAATGTTGTGGAAGGGTTGCGGGCAGTCGCGAGTGACCTTGGCCAAATGTGTGTCTCCTCTTTTGAGGCTCATTGCCCCCTGGCATGGTGTAAAAGAACAAAACTCAAAGGGAGCCTCCTGATATGTCTGGTAAGAGGGTCTGTTGCCCGTGGCACAATGGGTGTACGTGCAAGCACCGTGGGCGCGCACCCAGTACTCCGGAAACTTGGCGAGCTCGTCGTCCAGCTCATGGTCCAGGCTTTGTCGCCTGGCCCAACCAACTGGTTGGCTAGGTTTTTGGGGAAATTCATGCCGAAAGGGAGCAGGTGACTTTAGGCAACTCTCAGGTTCTGTCCCTTTGGCACCATGGAGATCGAACGGGGATGTCAACGTCCGACCATTTTGCAGTGTTCTGGAACGTTCTGAGGCGCCTTCCGAAATTTAGATGTCTCAACTAAATCACCTAAAAGGAGCACTCTCAAATGTTGAGGTTGACCCTCCAATACCCAAACCTGCAGTGGGTGGGGGTCAAAATGCTGGAGTCCCTCTCGGCCACTGAGGCCAGTTTTGGTACAAGGTTGGCATACATTCTTTTGAACAAGGACGAGTGACAAAGTATGACCCGCCCAACACATATTTGGGTTTGTCTTCTTTGAGGGAATTCTTTTTGTTGTGGCTTCCAAGGAGAAAACAAGGGGAAAAGCATCATATTTGCTCATGTTTCTAGTCAGGTAGTCCTTTTTACCTTTCAAGGGCGGGCCCGAAAACACCCCCCCCCCGCTGGTGCCTCGGGTCTGTGATGACCACCACGTTGGAGCTCCTGGGCGTGTGAAAAACTCCGTTCGCAATTGATCCTATGGCCCACACCAGAGTACAGAAAGCCGTATTTTCTGACTCTGTTCCGTTTAGTCTACCCTAAAATAGCGAATATGTTCGGAGGAGACAAGTCTAAAATGGATTCTGGTCTTCCTTTGCTGTCTTTCTAACCAAGCTGAAAGGGTACCCTCAAAAGCACACACTCAAGTAAGTGTCCATTCGGCTTTTTTTGAGAAACTCTTTGATTTCCAAGTGGCCGATATCTACGAGATGTGCAAACGCCCATTACACGGGGCGCCACCGCGGCGTCAGGCCCAGCATAGGATCTTGCCGGGATCCAGGCTGCTCTCTTAGACCCCTTGCCAAATGTCAGTCTTAAACTCAGCATCACTTGACAGGGGTGTAACCAAAAAACACCTTGGACAATAGCTTGTTTCACTTCGGTTTTCCTGTCAACACCAAACAAAAGGGTCCCCAATTTTTAAGCACCGCATGCTTTTCAGTTTCAGTGCAAGGTCTTGACGCCTTAACCTCTGTGTTGAAGGGCTCTGTGAAATTCACTGCCAAAAGCTAGGCAACAACTTGAAAGCACCAAAGAAGCTTTGACTAGATGTGAATCATCTCTTCTCGTCTTTCCCTTGAGCCGTGGAGAGTTTGGTACGGTCAGGAAAACAGTTGGGACCAGGGACCAAAACCATCTCCCCAACCCCTTTGGCAAAGGACCTGGAAGGCGATTGCTGGAAGCAATGGATCCATGAAACCGAAAAGCCAGATATAAATTCGCGGACTTAGAACACTGGGCTTGTCTGAAAATAGACTCCCCCAAACATGGCAACGGCTTCCAGTTAGTTGGTTTCCTTTCAACACCAACAACACACTCACTGGTCTAGCCCTTACAATCTTACAAATGAAATGCAACCACAGGGTGCCCTGAGGTCCTGAATCTTAGACTGAAACAAGTTTTCGCCTTTTGCCGGCAGAAAGGGAAATGAAGGAGCACCAACAAGGCAAAAGGGTTCAATACGGTAAACTAAGCCTGAAATCGCAGCTCATTACTAGTCACTGTGCGTTTCCCCAGAAACCAAATACCAAAGATCCGGAGAACAAGATGAATTAGCAAGTGAGAACGCAAATGTCGCAAGCAGGCACTGCAAGAGGAAGTGTTCCCAACAAGGCCTCTTTAAACTTGTTTCCTTTTCCAAGTCCTCCGGAAACAGTCTCCAAAATGCATTCCCATGCCGATGTTTTACACACAGTATTCACAAGCAAAAGCACAACGCCGACGTCTTCGAATCAAAGCAAGCATCTCAATGGCAATATGCTGCAAATGGCGCACACTTCTTCTGCAGAATCCCAATGCTCTGATTTGCTCCCAAGCGGTCGGCATCTGCCAACCGCTTGCACAAGTCACTGCCAGATTCTACACTCCAAGCCATCAATCAACTGATCTGCGCATACAAAAACACTCACATCACATCTTCACGTGGCTTTGCCTGGTGCCTCACAAAATGTATCGCACGCCCATTGACTTCGGAAGTCGCTAACACATGCAGTGCTGCAGGCTCGCTCACTTCAGTGACTGCACAGCTTTCTGGATCTCCTTCTCCCGGTCGTAGTACTTGTCCTGGCAAGTGTTCAAGTTGCCCAACCATCACTGCAGCATACAGCATGTGGTATTCATTGTCCTTTTACCAACCGATGGACATGTACAAAAAAGGGACCTTTCACCAAGGTATTCCGTACTACCGTGCCTGCGCACATACTCGGGGACGGGAATCAACAATGTCCATTCCTTTCAGTCCCAAAACGGGGATCCTGCGTCAGAATAGGGGACCACAACAGTAGTCAGCAAAATAGGGACCGCAGTCAAAACGGATGTTCTTTTTGGTTTCTCTTTAAACCAACCCTGAAAAGGGTACCAACTCAAACACACCCAAGCATCCCATGGCTCTGGTTCTCCGGCCTTCAGCTTCTGCGGGATCTTCTTCAGCAACTCCTGGGGGAAGATTCGCAGCAGCGTCCAAGCCTCGTGCCGATGCCACTCGCGTGTTTTCGCGCGCACGCGTATCAAGCAGTCACGAAGAACATCGGCACGGCAAACCAGGGTTGCTCCAAGATCCTTGGCAAAAGGGTAGAAAATTAGCTTCCGCCAAGGCTTGGAGCAACCCTGCAAAGAGCAACTGATGCGACAGCGTTGCATAACCATCACTGACAAACTTGTTTTTGTCTCTCTCTGGCAAGTATTTGTGCACGTGTGCGCCGACACCCGCCGCAAGTATGGCCCCCGGCAATGTCCAGAGAAGTGAAGATGTCTCGGTTCTCGTATGCGCCCTGCGCCCTTGGAAGGTCAAACAAATCAACAGAGAGCAATGCACCACACACACACACACACACGCGCACAAACTGTTTCCCTGCTTGGGGAACTCAGTTATTTTCTCCTCAGGATGCCACAAGAACTTCAGCTCAAACTTGTCAGTGAACTCCAGGTACTTATGCCTGCCATGCTTAAACATGTTGGCTCATTGCTTCTCGCTCAGACATGACCTTGCCACCTTGTTTTGTCATGTGTTGCACACTTCCCGCAGGAGACAGTTCAAGTTTCAAGCTCATGGAATGCATAGCGCCGTTCAAGCGAGGTTACACCATCGCGCCCCAATGAAACAACTTAGCAGCATCGTCGCGGCTCTGGCTGTTTTGGAGGCAAGAACAAATCGTCGGCTCCACTCATCCTCGCTGAGGGCCTCACACAGCGCTAATGCAGCGAACCCAGCTGGTTGGCACAAGAGACTCAAGAGACTTTGGCTAGCTGGCCTCCTCACCCACCACGGCCTTCATCGCGCGGGTGTCCTGACAGGTGCATCCTGATCAGCTTCCGAACGCGAGTCGCCCCACTGTGCCACGGAAAGCGGCGCAACACATTTCGCCTGGCCGATGGCATAGTTGGCATAGAGCTGATCGGAGACGTTGGGGTGGTCGTCCCGTGTCATGCCTCCACTTGGCATCTGTCACATGTTACACCACAAAGAAGAAGCACTTGAAGAGCATGTCTGCTCTTGCCTCCCTTCTGTTTGAAGTGCTTTTGCTCTAAACAGGCCAGCTGCACCCTTGCCAATGCCGGACTTCATCAATCGGCTCAGAGATGGCAGCACCTCGCTTTGATTCGTTTGGTAAAATGCGGCAAGCGGCAGCCACGACTCCATAACAATCAGCACACCAACTACTTGGGTGACCCTAAAATGGGTTCTAACTAAATGGTTCTGACACCTTGCCCCTCGGTGCAAGCTAGAACCGCCTACAAGAACCGCCTGAACTACGTGGCAATCCGTTCCGGAACGATTTGAGTCTGATGCGTTGATCGGCGGGTAGATCTGCCTATTGTGCAGAGCCCGGTCCACGAACACCTGCGAAGTGAGGCGAAACATCACAAGTGCATGAAACTTAAACGGCTGGACAAGTCGAACGGGGCTGCATGGTGCTCACAAGGAGATGCTGCCTGGCCCTCCGTGATGTAGCCGGTCAGGTCGGGGATGGGGTGTGTGATGTCCTGAAGCCAAGTTGCGGATGCCAAGTTACTGGCATCTTACGCCAATAGTGTCCCCAAGCGCCCAGCGTCGTTGGGCATGGTGAGAATGGGGAATTGGGTGATGGAGCCGTTTCCTCAGCGCTGAGCGCTCGGCAAATCTAAGTCGTTTCGGTAATTCCAAAATTCATCTGAAATTCATCTGGGCACAACTAGGTGTTGAATAGGTCTGAGAAAAGTAACTATCCATCCTCTTTTTGCTTGCTTTTGGGAAGTTAACATTTATATAGCTTTCCGCATGCCAACCAAATGAGATCCTGTGAATTCCGAGCCCCGAGCGCCCCTCGACGCGTCCAGCTCGCTCGTAGATGGTTGACAAGTCCTTGTGAGGTGCGGGGTGCAAATTGCAGCTGACGGATGGGTTGATAGCTTAGCTCTGAGGACCCGGCTGTGTACCTGCCAGACTCTGGCTGAGGCATGCCACATGTGTCATGCACAAGCACCATGCCAGAATGCAATCCAGGTAAACGAAACATCAAACTTTCGTTCATCATTGGATATGGTGTGTCCTTTCCGAGGTCACCCCAATTTTCATGGATTCTAAGGGAAACTAAATGGACAATCACTATTTTGGGGACCCCTAAAAAAAGACTCACCCAAACCAATGCGTTGAACACCCAGCTCGAGGGCACATGTATCCAGGATATCCTCGTCGACCGGGCACCTCCTCTCGTGCCGCGGACACCTGCCATGTGACACCCAGTCTCCAAAATGGCTTCCACTACCACAAGCTACTGCCGCCAGGGGTTTACAGTGATATGCAACCATTTTATAGGCACTACAGTGCGTAAATGGTATGCCCCGATTTCCTCCTGGGCGTAGCGACTTCAGCGGTTTGGGCGTGGTGGACATCATAGCCAGTCAGGCTTCATGGCAATGGGATGCGTCTGAAGCTCCGACAATTGGAGCCAAGAGGCGCCAGCTTTGACACCAAGCAGTCAAACCGGGCCTCTCGCAGGGCGTCCGCATATGAACTCATGTCCGTGAGAATCACGAAGACCTGCAGCAGTTACCAGTCGGTGTCAAAAATTATCGCCTTTTGAAAACGGATGTCCTTTTGAGAAACATTGGACATTATGGTCTATCTAGCACCGAGATTGCATCTGGCTCCTCAGCTGAACATTGATTTACTCAGATCAAGTACAGGCAAAGGGGGCACGGATGCGCGGCTGGGGCACCAAACGTGCTGCTCGCGCGTATACCTTGGAGCAAGCAGGACCCACTCTCGTGGAATCACAGTGCCTTCGGAATATCAACTGCCGTTTGGGAGTTGTCAAAAAAATAGTCCCTTTTTGGACCCTGGTGCCGCCTTTTAAAGGGGCTACCAAAATCCCCTCGATTCACTTTGCACTGCGAGTCGATTCACTCAAGGCACGTTCCCCAACTGCTCAAACATATTGTCAACATAGGGGGCCCAAAAAAATGTGGCTTCCTCTCGGTTTTCCTCCAACCAAGGTGAAATAACAGTTTCTCTCTTGGTGCTTTGGTGGTTTGAAGACTAGGGGGTTTTCCATTTACCCGCGAGAACCAGGGGTTCAACCCCCAGCCACCCAAGCCAAACACCAATTCAGGTGAAGGGTACAAAAGACACAAACCATGCCGCTGCTTTTTTGTGCCGAGCAGCGCGAAGTACTCTGCTGTAGTGAGCGCAAGTCGGGGCGTGACAATGCGCTCAATGGTGGGGTCCTGGGCGCGGCCCAGATTGAGCTCAAAACCGGCTGAGGGCTCCCCATGTGGTCGATTTCAGAGAGGGGCCCAAGCAAAACAAATGAAATGGGTGGTGTCTGCAGAACTCTTCCCAATTGCACAGGGACCCTGGTGGAAAAAGGGAACCTTGTGGGTGAACCGTGTTCGGTAAAGGTTGTGACCATGGCTACGACTCAAATACCAGACATATTGTCGGGTAGCAACTAAGAAAGTGGGAGTCAAAACAGCAAAAACTATGCAAACTATTCCCTCACCTGAAAGCAATAAGGGTAGGCAGAACACAAACAACATTTTGGAGGTCAACAAATCCGGGATGTTTTCCAGGTGCATAAGAAACAGTTGTTGGGGCTGCCTCCTGACTTGAAGGAAGGCAATGGACAAGCCAACCTGACTGAGGTCCCCAAACATCCAAATTTCTCTATGAGACTCTAAAAGCTGCCACCCAGCCAAATTTGCAAGGGGGTGGTACAGGGAACACCCAGGAAGGTAATATGGATTGTTTAAGGGTAGGAAATAAAGAAAACAGCTTTGCACCCAGGGCCAGCGCAAAGGAATACGAAATCAACACCTGAACCAACTTTAAACAGTACTGGGCCAGCTCAAAGGAAGAATAATCCAATACTAAACCAGTTCGGAACAGTACTGAGCCAGCACACAAGAATACTAAACCACTACTTAACCACTACTAAACCAACACTAAGCCAGTACTAAACATAACTTGCTGGAAGACTATGTGGGCAGGCAGCAGCCTGACCCCCATTGTGCTTTTAGGTTTCTCTCTGTTGACCCTCCTCATTTTGTTTGGGGAAACCTTACTCGTCACTACCCTATATACAATACAACCATCGCCTGCCCAGCTACCAATCTGTGGGTTGCATATCCAAGCACTCTCTCAGCTCCCGCTTGGCGGCCCCGCATTGGCGAGGTTCATGAAGAGCACGACGTTCTCCATGGAACCGTTTCTGCAGCCGGAAATCGCTTTCCAGCGTCAAACATCATGTCAGGGTGTTCTTTTTGCCACTGTTGGGAGCATCGCGTGCCCCCAGAACTTTCCACCGTGAACAGGGCCGCCTCTCAGTTTCCAAAGAGGCAGGGGCGTGTTTCCAAAAACGGGCTGTGCAAAAAAAGACGGGTCCCTTTTGGCTTCCCTGCAACACCAACCAAAAAGGGTGGGTTCTGGCCGCCAGTGTTTGGGCTCAACTAAAAACGGGGGTTTCGAAAAATGAGCGGTTTCCCTCCAACCAGAAAAGGGCAACCCTTGAGAACTTTTGTCCGAGCCCGGGACTCTTCGAAGTCGTTCCGGAAGAAGCGCGCGGTCTCCATGTTCACACCTCAGGCGTGTGAGGGTTGGCCGTTGGCCCAATTTCATTCCAGGTTCACCTTTGCGTTGGCGGATCCGCAGTTTTATGTGTGTTGTTATTGCTCCTGTTTGCTTTAACATGGGACTAAACTACTACTGGCGACCACTGATTGGACCTCTAAGCAACAACCCCCTCCGTTCACCTTGTAGCTGATCAGGAGTCCTTGTTTAGTGGGGATTCCTCCCGCGGGAACCTTCCAATTCCTACTATTGAGAACCGAATCCTCTCTTCGGACTTTAAAGCCACTCTGCTTGCAAACCTACAAGGAAGTGCTGCCAGGCCCAGGATTAAAGAATTAAACATGAAACGGGGACGGGACCGTCGCTTAAGCCTTGCTTTCCGTTTGAGGGCAGGGTTGCTCAAAGACCCGATCACAAGGGTAGATATCTGACCCTGGGTGCAGCAAGCTTTCCAACCCTGGGAATGGCTGAAAAAACCTTTGTTTCGTGCAGCCCCCTACTAAAAATGAACAGAACAAAAAACCTAAAACCTAACATCATGATCCAACAACAGTGAAGTTGAAGCCCAACCAATTGTCTACTATCTTTTGGGGTCGCAATGGGGGCCGTCCAGTCCAGCTCTAGGCCGTCCACCCATGGCTCCGAAGACGATGCTAAAGTTCTCCTGGGTGTGGTCCATGACCTCGAGTTTAAAAGCCAACGGGGCACATGTGGGTATGGGTGAAAATTACTCTACCAGGATATGGACTGCAGGTTTCAGTTGCCACGGTGAAAATCGGGTCATGGTCATGGGTCACATCCCTGAGTTGATGATTCTCCTTGAGCCCAAGAGGGGTGGTTCTTTAGCGGATTGGCGACCAAACATGCCCAGAAACGCAAGACGGACATTCGGCTCGCTAATGCAAGCAACACAACACGAAACACACAACTGTGAATCTATTCCCCACGCAACAATATCAACTTTTGCTACTTAGCCTGAAAGCTCACATTTCCCCAAAGGTTAAGGGTGGACGATCCAGCCAGCCGCGAAAGAAAGACACGTGTTGCATGGCACCGTGGACAGCTGAGGCTCCAGGCATCCTTGCCCTTCACCAGAGATGCCTGTCGGCACACCTGCCAAACACGGGTGTGGGGAAATGGACCACTTCGCAGGATTGGCCTCATGGGAGCCATGAGTACAGTCACAACCAAACAGGGAATGAAAGAGAGTCTGCCTATTTGAGGGCACCCCATTAAAGAGACAATCCACCCGCACTTGGGGAATGCTCGCTTGGGCTAGTCTTTTGTTGCAGCAGCTCCCAAATTCTTTGATTTTTGGTACCAACATGGTCATAGAGCTTGCGTACGAGCTCTTTGAAGGCTCAAAATGCAATATCTCGGCTCTGGGGTGCACTGCGGAGCGCACCCTTTTCTTGAGCCAAAACCACACGGAGTGCAATCAGCGCATTGGGCAATTATGACTATACATATCATGACTCCTCCTTGCTGGAAGAGCGTCTCTGTACACGCTCGCACAGCAATATAGGTAGCGGAGTCTGGCCAGGGACCTTAGCCTTCTAGTAGCTTAAGCTGTCCCTTGCTACGCTGGTCAAGGAAAACATAACCACACCTTCGCATGGTCTCAGACATCTGTACACCTGGAATGCTCTTTGTTAGAGCATCCGCCCTGTTGGACTTGCCAGGGGTATGCTCCACCCTCAGATGGTCCATGCTGACCCTTTCCTGCAACCACAGGAACCTCGTCTGGATGTGACGGGCCTTTCCCAGACCTGCCCGATTGACAGTTCCTTTTGCTGCAGTCGCATCTGATTGAATCAGCACCTGGGTCTCGACCGCAAAGTCCTCCAAGAGTGACTGTAGGCCTAGACCAACTGAACCTCCTTTGACAAGAGCATAATACTCCGACTCCCCAGTCGACAAAGCGATGGTCGACTGCACATTGCTGCTGTGCTTGAGCACATGCAACCCATACAGAGCAACCATGCCTGTTGTGGATCTCCTCGTTATTGCGTCTCCGGCATGATCGGAATCCACCTGGATTCGGAGCTTGCTCGGCTTGGCTTGCCGTGCAAAGACCTGACACACGTCCGGCTTCTTGATGAGGTAGCGACACAGTCGCTTCAAATCCTGCAAAGATGCCTCTGTAGGAGAAACCATCTTCCTCGCAAGATTCTTCACAGCGTGGCTGATGTCCAACCTGTCCTGTGACAGGTACGCTGCCCTCATCACGCATGAGCGATACAGGGAAGCCTGCTCTTTCGGTAGAGCTGGGCTCCGGGCTTCCTGCATCTGCAAATCAACGGACTTCTTCACGTCCGGTGTCTCCGCTCCCTTGGCATTCTCCATGCCAAGCTGCTGCACAAGCAAATCAACATGGCGTCGATCTGGCTCGATCAGGATCGCACTCGCTCCTTGATGTTGTTCACAACGAATGAGCCGGTTGAGAAAGTGGACCTCCTTGTGGTCTCCTTCCTCATCACCTATCGTCCCGAGCCATTTCAACTCGTAGGCACTGCGAAGCAAAGTATCTACTTCCTTCAGCGCCTCGGCGTCTCCTAACGCCATGAAATCATCTCCGTGCACCAGCACTCTTATTCCCAGTGTCGGGTGATAGAACACTGAGCCATTTGACTTTCCCCGGAGATATCCGGCTTTGATCAACAGCTGCGTGTAGTGCTGCTGCCATATGTTAGGGGCATCCTGTGTCCCGTACATCGACTTAGTCAAACGACCCACCATTCCCGGACTGGCGTCCTCGTCCGGCAACTGGATGTATATGCGGCGTTTGGGTACGCCATAGAAGTGGGCTCTTGATATATCCCAAAGTCCGATCTTGAGTGGTCGTCCTCCATGGGATACACGCTCAGTGGCCCATAGGCTACATAGCAGCCTCATAGCCTCTAAAGGCGGTGTTGACGAAAACAGCATGTTCTGAGGAATCCTTTCCTCTGGACTCTTCCGGGCCTTGATCTCCCGGACCACCAATCTCGACCTGAAGTTGGGATTGGCGGGGTCTCCCTTGTTGGTGTCTATCCAACGGGTGGTGATTGGACCCTTCCCGTTGGTCTCTCTGAGGCATTCCTCGAGCGGCACCTTCTCGTAAACCTCTTGCTTCCTAAGATAGTCCAACTCGAGCTGACGTGCCTCCCTGACTCGGTCTGGTGGCAAAAACCCACCATTCACGTCGTCCCAGTACTGCTCCACGTCTTCCGGCGTCACGAAGCTCTCCTCTGGGATTGGACCTGCAACTGCTGCGTCCAATGCACTCAACTGGCCACTCTCTACAAGGTGGCTCTTCAAAGTCTTCAGGACCGCTCGCACTAGCGCTGGCGGATAACGGGCCGCCGGTCTAGCGAGTCCTCCGATCAGGTGGATGTGCCGGTGCCATGGTTTCCCCGGCACATTGTTGGTGCATTCGCCCTCCAACAGTTGGGCCAAACCTGGATGGTTGGTCATCCAGCCAGTTTCTTTCCGCACATATCCTGTGCCCTGCAAACCCCTCCGGTCCGTAGCGACCATAGCCCATCTGCACATTGGGCCTCGGACAGTGTACACGTCCGGTCTCTCAGTGAGCTCACGGACCTCCGGGTCTTTCCAAGAGGTAGCACTCCACGGTGCCTCATGCAAGAAGAACCTACCTGCCTGCAACTGCTTCCTGTAGAACCTACAGGCGGTATGCAAATGAGCAACTGCTCTATCCATCTTCTCGCGCCTCTTGTCTGGGCTCACCCTGTACTTGTTGATGTTCTGGAGCTGGGAGAATTGGTCACAAGGTGGGCTCCCTGTGAGCAATGTCGGCTCGACCTCGTCCACATACTCCTCGAGCTCTCGGACGTCCTCAGTCTTGCTGAGATCCCAGTAGGAACCGTCCGGTTTCTGCTCCTCAAGGTCTACCGCAAAGCCCGGCCTCAAGCCATACTGCCCGGCTTGGGCCGTGAACCGCTTCGGGCTGTAGATCTCCATGATATCAACAGCGCCCATCTCCACGCACAGCTTGGTGATCTGCTCCAGCTCGACCGCGTTGATCTCCACCTCCTGAGCCAAAAACGCTCTCTCTACTTTCCGTCCAACCATGGACTTCAACATCCTCTTCAATCGACCCAGTTCAAGTCCACCCACGTCTGGGGGCTTGTCCGGGGTGTTTGAAGTCTCGGCGTCAGCCGCCGGTTGAGTCTCCGTTCGGAGTTCTTCAGGAGATACTGCGGGCTCTCGCTTCTCACCTTGCTTCTGCTGCGTCTTCTGCTTGGCTCCGGGCGCTATATACAGCGCTCCCGGTCTCTTGATCTGCGTGGTCGGCTTCGCCTTGCTCTTTGGGCTACTCGATGCTGGCGGGTCTGCTGCTGCTCTCTTGAGTTCAGCCCTCTTCGCGGGATCCTCCACATACTCCATCACTTGTCCAGGGTCTTGCCTAGATCCTACTCCGGCCTCAGCGGCCGGCTCTCCCATGGCCTCTTGGGCTGGGAGATCTGCTTCCACTCCTACTTCCGCGGTCTCCTCTCTTTTCCTTTTGTGAGCTTCGACACGGCGTCGTCCTTGCTCATCATCCATCATGAGACCGACGATTCTCGCTCGGCACATCTCAGTGTGCGGCAACTGAGTGGATTCCCCTAGTAGCACGCAAGTGCATCCAGGACATCCATCAGTAGGTTGGTACTTCTCCACATCTGCCTTACGGATGTAAATCCGTCGCTGCTGTGGCGGTGCCATAACAGGCACAACCTGAGGCGGAACCTCAACCCGGTCTTCACTGACCAGCAGGTCCTCCACTCCTTGAGCAGGAGTTCCCGGGGCCCTCTGCCCCGGCGTTCCCGGCGCTCGCACTGAGACCTCCCACGGGTAGCCTTTAAGGCTTTCCCATCCTTGTGGATTCCATTGATCTTCTTCTGGAAGTCGACGAACACCAGTGCCTCTCTTCACTCCTTCTGAGGTCACAACCAGCAAAGTGCCAGTCCTTCCGTGGTGACCTATGTACCTGCCTTCCTTGAGTGGCCTAGCTCCTTCTCCTACCTCACGGTAATACAACCGCTCTCCTATGGCGATTGCCGGCTTTCTCCATTCTCGGCCACACCTCCTTTGTTCCGGTGTCTTCCCGTCGGAACCTCTCTTGTACCTGCACATCAGGTCTGCTGCATGCCTTGGAAACCAAGACAGCACAGGGTCGTCATCCTTCAAGACTCGACCCAACTTCTCCTCCAGTGAGGATCGCAGGACTCTCACCTGCCTTTTGAGTTCTCGGCACAAGTTCTCGATTGCGCCATTCGCCCGGTGGTCAGCCACCGGCGACTCCTGTGGAACATTCTCCACTCCTGCTTCCTTGGCCGCCTGCTCCTTCAGGGCAACGATCGAATGCTCACCATCACTCTTGAAGACTGCACGACGGTAACCAAGATGCTTTATAAAGTTCGCCATGAATTTGACCGCATATGGCGTCGGTCCTTTTGCGTCCACGAAGGTGGCCGCAACGGCCAGTGTCCGACTGTCTCGGATCACCAGGATAGGCTTAGTCTTCCCATCCTCCTTTCCATCTCGCGTCATCCATGTGTAGTCGCACGAGATTGTCGCGAGCTCATCGCTCGCCTTGTCCTCTTCGGGTCGTGAGCGATGCTGCTGACCCAATCCTCTGCCGGCAAGACAATGCCGACACCAGTTGCGATACTGCACGTGACCTGTTGCCTCATGCTCCGCAACCTCGGCCCTCGATGGGCCTCCTGGTGCTCTCACCAGTGCGGGCGGCGCGATCTCGCCGCTCTCATCCATCTCATCACCCTCGGGCACACCTGCGGGTCGGCCCGCTGGTGCCTCTGGGTTCCCTTGTCCGGCACCCACGGCATCATCTGCCGCTGCAAGTGGTTTGGCCGGACTTACGCCTCGCTGGACTGCCGTCCAAAACCCGAACAATCTTCCGACTTCAAATAGAAGTTGTAAACTCCTTTCTCTTGGTATATGGGCAACCAAGTCTTCTTTTGGGCTTTACTGGGCTTGTTGAGCAACTGCTGAATTTTCCTTCCTGTCGCTGAGTCTGCTGGAATCAACTGTCCACCATTTTGATCAAGAACAGCCATCCTTCCATGGTTGAGGCATTTGTAAGCTGAAACCAACGGTTTGTGTACCGGTGCTAATGGCCCTGTGACTTTACACCTGGAACCTGTTTCACTCTTACCTTGAAACGTCCCGGTTCCGGTCCCAGGGACCAGTTCCCCCGATGCTGTCTTGAACATCATCTGGGCTCCTTCCTTAGTGGGGATGCGGTCTTTCCAATCCACTGGAATAGCAGTTTGAGCAGCCCCCGTATCAAGGTTGAACCGAACCCAGTTTGGGTCTTTCGGGGACTCTCCCTGGGTGAATGCACCCAGCTCAAACATTCCCACTTCGGCCTCCGGTTGTTCTTCTTGGTCTCCAGCTTCGTAGTCGGCGTCCTCGAATCCTGCCACATGCTTCTGCTTGGAGCCAGACTTCCCTGAGCCTTTGGAACCTTTTCCATCCTTCTTCTTGCTCCAACACTCGGCCGCTCTATGGCCGGGCTTACCACAGTTGAAGCATGCTCCTGCGGGTCCTGAGCTGCCTGAACCACTGCCTTTACCTTTTCCTTTGCTGTCCTTACCTTTTCCTTTGCCTTTGCCTCCACCTTTGTCCTTTCCCTTACCTTTGCCTCCTTTCGAACCTTTCGAGCCTTTGACCAGCGAGTTGAGCACCTTCGTGATGGCGTCCACGTCCATCGGAGCGGGGCCTTGCCCCGATCTCGAAGCCCCACTGGACCCCGGTCGATGGATCGTCCCCTTGGCTCCCGTGACTGTTTCAATCAGAACCTCAATCTCCTGTTTCATTTCCTCGTAGGTTCCCAGCCGGTTCTTGTTCAGAATGAGGTGGCGCTCAATGTCGGTTGGAACCAGAAGTTCTAGGGACGTACACTTTATGTCCTGAGAGAGGATTTCCCTCTCGCCCCTTTCGTTCCTTCTGGCCTCATATCGGCGCATCAAATCATCTAGTTGTTCCATGGCCGGTCGAACTGCTTCCCAAGACTTAACTCTTTCGGGGTTGAGGATGGCCCTTAGGATGTTCCTCTTCCTACCTGCGGTGAGGGGGTCCCATCTCCTGTTAAGCCTTCGCCATGCCTCATACCCGTTCTTGGCATTGATGACCAGATCTTCGGACTCATGAGTAGTAAGGGATGACAACAACCTATACAGCTGGTCTCCCTTATCATCCAGTCCGGCCATTCCCAGTTCACCTCCATGTTCCTCTTCTACCTTTTCAACAGTGATCTCCTCATCCTGATCAACTACCCATTCAAGGATTGACTGGAAACTGGATCCAAAGATTGCCGTTGTGAGGTTCACCACAGACCGGGCCCATCTACGGAAGTGGCCGTCATCATTGGAGAAGACTTCCGGTTTTCCAATCCCTTTGGTGTCTATCAACAACTTCCTATCGCCTTTCTGCAGGCTTGTAGCTAACCTACCAAGGTTCTCTGCCAAAGCAGCTATACCTGCCTGGCCTTGCCTAAGAAGTTGATTCTCCTGTGACAACCGCTCAACTGCCTGCTGCAACTCTCGCACTGTTTCCTCCATGCCTTATATCCGGTGCCAAGCACCGGGAGGTCAGTCCGCCTTCCCGGACTCTTCTGTACTATAGTACGACCCCGAGCTCGATCCGCTTTTCGGCTCCGGCGCCGGTTGATCGTGAAGGTGAACACTGCCCTCGGTCTCGCTCAGGGGTGTAGCCGGCGACGGAGTCGGTGGCGGAGGTGGCGGCCGCTTCGGCCGAGCCAGCGAAACCTTCGGCTCGCTCTTGGGCGTCTCGATGTGGGCCTTCTCCTTGAGCACCCACTTCGGTCTTGGCGATGGAGGTGGTACCTTCGCCTCTATAGCCGCTTTTGCAGGAGGTGGCTTCACCTGAGGCTTCGCGATAGCTTCCGGTACTGACTTTGAGGTCGTTCCTACCGGTGCGCGCCTCCTTGTCGCCCCTTTTGCAATTGCTGCGGCCCTGGCCAACAATGATGGCCTCTGAAGGCGAGTCCTCTCGTCGCACGAGGAACACGGGTTCCCTAACCCGTCCAGTTGCAGCACACTCTGCTGGATGGCTTTGGCCACCGAGCCCGTTGCTCCGGCTCGGTATGCAGCTTCTGCCGATGCCGCCTTCCTGAGGCGGTAGTTCGAGGCCAGGTTCTGCTCGCTCGTCCCTTCACCGCGGGATGTCCTTGCCACCGCAAGCTCTTGTATGTTCCTGTGCACCGTAACCCGTCGGCCGAGAGCTTTGGCTGCCTCGGCGACCGGTGCCAGCAGCTCGGGCTCAGCGCCCGGTGAAGGCTCCTTTCCTTGGGCCTTTGTGAATCCCTTCGGCGGTGTCTTCGGAGCAGGGCTGGACTTAGGCGGGGACTTCGGTGGTGTCTTGGGCTGCACCCGGCGCCTCTTCCAGGGCGCCTGCCCGAAGTTCTCGATCTCCTCCTGGAGCTCCGCGGATGGCTCTTCCTGCTTCTTCTGCGCGAGCTTCAGGAGGCCTTTGAGGATCCTAAAGTGCCGACTGTTTTGGCTTCTCCTCTTGTCTTTGCCAGTCGCACTCTGCCACCACCGAGATCCTGACGACCTAGGCGTGTGAGCGACCTTGGGCTCGGGCTGGATCCTGCCCTCGCTGCCCCAATCGCCCCACACGCTCTCGTCCTCGCTCTGGCCCTTCTGCTCCAGGTCGAAGTCCGTGGCCTCGGGCTCAAACTGCTTCTTCTGCGGCGGGTGGAGGTCCTCCTTCTTGTCCTCGTTGGTGTATTGTTCCAGCTCCTCCTCCTTCTCCTCTGCCCGGCTTCCTCGAGCCGGTTCTGGGCCCCTGTGGCCACTTGGCAGAGCCTCTGGCTCTGAGGAGGGAGGAGATGCAGCCTGGGATCCTCCCCAGTCTGCTTCTGACTCAGCGGCAGGCTCAGCGGACAGGGTGTCTTCTTCTCCTTCACTCGGAGGGGCAACTAGCTCCGGCCTCTCCTTCGGCAGCTCTTCCGCTGCCCCGGTCTCCTCGACCGGCTCTGCGGCTTTGCCTTTGCCGCGAGCGGGCCGCCTCCACGGCGGCTCCTCCTTGTTGCTCTTGCCCCTGCCCTTCTTGCCCTTGCTCTTGCCCTTCTTGCCCTTGTTCTTGCCCTTGGGCCCCTCGTACGGCTTTCCAAACCAAATGGACCGTCGAGGCTCACCCGCTACCATCAAAATGCAATATCTCGGCTCTGGGGTGCACTGCGGAGCGCACCCTTTTCTTGAGCCAAAACCACACGGAGTGCAATCAGCGCATTGGGCAATTATGACTATACATATCATGAAAGGCCCACGAAGGAAGAAAAACACCCCTTCGCTAAAATCGGCCAACTTTTGGAATTGAAGATTTGGGACCAATTCGATGCGCAAAGCCACAATCAAACCGGGCAAAGGGTCCCCCCAAAGCCATGTGATTGACTTTTCGTTCTCCCAACATTGAAAAATCGATTTGAATATTACTATGCGAGTGACGGGCCAGGCTCAGTTTGACTTCCTTGGTGACCTACAACTGTTTTATGTCGTCTTTTTTTGGAAAGGACTTTGTCCACCAGCAAAAAGTGACTCATAAACTTACCCATGGTAGGGCCCAAAGTGAGCCACATTCTGAAGACAAGGGTTCAATCAGACAGTCCCGACAAGGACAAGTCCTTTCGATTCTTTGCAGCGTGAAAGCCCCTATTTGCGATGTTTGTCGTAGTTTACTGAGGGTAGAAAGGAATGAGGCTGGACGCCCACGCGGGCTTGAAAACACGAAAGGGGCCCCCATCATGTTCGTAAGAGTCAAACAGCGAGTCTATACCAAAACAAAGGTTCAAAAAGGTGAACCGGAATCTCTCAAGTAAAAAAGCAAAAGGAAGCGATTCTGCACTGATTCACCAACTAGGGACTCCTTAACGAAAAGCTGCCCAGTTCGCACCCAGAAACAGAGGCTAACCGTTAAACCTTGGGCCAAACAAAATGGACCAAGGGGAAACTAGAAGCTAACCTTTTGGCCCCTCTACTAAACATGGAGCAATTGAGGGAAGCCGAAAGGTGAATCGACTTGAGATCCGATCGATTCGCTTTACAAGTTTTGATCCTGAGCTCGCGGACCTGGGCCGCAATCTCATTGTGCGGCAGACCAGCAGCCTCGAACGCGACCAGGGCGATGAGGGTTCGCAACTCCGATTGAGGGAGAGTCAGGTGGCCCAACAAGCAAACACAAATACGACCCATTTCACAATTACCACATCTATCTGCACCTTTAGGAAATCCAAAACCTGACAGAATGGGATCCCATACAGGACCTACATCGCGGGATTCGCCAAAGGCCTGCTTCCTGGGCTCCCAGCCGAGAAAAGCGGCAGCTTCTGACCTCTCACCACTGAGTTCATGGTGTCGATCGCGCTGATGCCTGTCCTCGATTCAATCGTTGGATCGAACAAATCAACGAGTCACCGAATGAGGTTTGGGAGGGGGTTGGGAGTCCCCAATGCCATCTATCTTCCCCACAATGGAGTGATAAATGGGATTCCAGGTCAACCCCCTCCCCTTTTTGTTTGAGAAAAACAAAACAAGAATAGCATTATCAGGGTGGGGATGATTCAGAATTCGGAGGAAGCATAATATGCCGCCAATGATCTGTAACATGCATGTACTCGGAACATGCTTTGTCCGAGCTGATCCGAGTGCAAGGCTGGATCATCTCCTTGGGGTACACGCGAGACCTTGGTTCTCAGGCAAACGACACATCGGAAAGAACCTGAACTAAATCCTGGACATTCTACTAAAATGCCAAACCTGAAACAAGAGATGCGCGAGGAAAGGACCATCATAGCGAACTCGTTTTACCCCCGAATAGGTGAGCTTGCGAGAAAACAGGCAGATTTGTCCATCAACCCAGACCGAAGTACCTCGGTGCTTGCAACTCTTTTGCCAAGACGCTTGGGATTCAACGGCGCTCCGTTGATGTCCAAGAACTCTTCTGCCAACACAGTGGGCCTGACCAAAGAGGTGCTTCAACTGTGTTGCCGATCTTCGCATTGCCATGTGACTGGAACAGCGAGCACGGGCAAGGAAACTGCGAGCTGCAATTCTGAGCGCAAAGTCCATGCACCCTCTTCTGCTGACGCACATGAGAGCCCGCGTGCCCTCTTCCCTCTCTGACCCAGAAACCCTGCGCACCCCTTGTCGATGGGCTTGCCGGAGCCGTTGAAGGCACGACCTGTTCAGTCGGACACTCCCAAGCCACACTTTTCGGCCTGGCCTAAGGTTTTCGCCCAGTGTCCCGAAACCATCTCGCTTCTCTTGATGCAAAGCATCTTAGGATTGAGGCCCATGAGGTCATCCGAGATCGGCATCTTCAAGGTGTCCCCAGTGAATTCGATGTGGCAATCCCTGCCAGCCGTCGACGCTTGGCTGTGTCTGACTGCCGGTTGACATATGCCCCAGACCCCGTAGTGGCCATGCGAAAATTGGGTGACCCATTTTTGTTGGTTGTCTTCAAAGGGAAACCCCGTCCACAAAAATGGCAGAAGGTCTGAGATGCATTCCCAACGCACTGAGACGCACGCTTGTTGTCGATGTTGCTAGTACCCTCGAAGACCTGCACGATGGCCTGCCAAATCGCTGGATGGCAGTGTCTGCGTGGCAAGATCTGCATCGCCGAAACCGGCCTTCTTCTTGTTCACCTCCAAAATCTGCCCTTGTCGAACGGTACCGTCCTTGAATCAATTGTCGTGCAATAGAGCCAGCAGCCGCACTTGCCACCGATTGAAACGACACCTGCCAGGCCATTGCGTTGCTAAGTGCGTTGCGGACAGGTTAACGTTGACGATCTCACCTTGCAGTCTTGTGCAAGGTCTCTAAACGCAATCAACCAGACAGAAACACTCAGGGCAGCGCCTTCAGCTTGAAAGTAGCCAAACAACATCTCCAAAGTGCTGGTGGACATGACTTCTCACCAGATAATGATGTCCACCAAAGGGTCTCCAGTTAAAAATTACATCCATCTGGAGGCAACAACATCTGCGCCAAATCGCGCCGGGCTCCCGGCCGTAGGTGGGGAACTTCACGTTTTCCATGATGACCAAGGGCCCCTGCTGTCAGACTGTGATCCGCTTTCCATCGGTGGAAGAACTGGCCTCCACACCGGTAATGGTCCGGTAGTCGATGCGAGGGTACACCTGCGCAACTCGGACGTGAAAGGAACCTTCGGGGGTCGCAACCTCTGTGAGGTCATTGCCGGTCGAGTACATGAGATGCTGCTAAACGTTAGCAAATCTCCATTTCCAACCTACAAACATCGCCCCCCTGGGCAGCAATAACTGTTGATGGCTACTAGGAAAAATCATGCCTGACCCCCAAAAGCTAGGTGCAAAACAAAACCAGCAAATCAACCGGAGACCAGTAGGAACACCAACAACGATGCCTCTGGCGGCCAATTTCTTGGTTTTGGCACCTTATAATCGCGGCTCGCAGCCGCGGCATTGACGGCAGCGGCAGACCTTGCAGACGACTCAAGCGGAGCCACGGTGAAAATATATGGTATGAGTGCGATTTTTGAGGGTTTGCCTTTTGGGTGGTTTACAGGGAAGCCACTATTTTGAAATCCCTGAATTGAATTCACACCCGTATGGATGCGGCCTCTTTGAGGCTCGGTACCCTTTTCAGAGGAAGCCAATCGAACCCAAGCTCATTCTAGGGATTCAATCATTCTTACACAGCTCACCTGAGACACGTAAAGGGGGAAAACCTTCGCTCGAACCTCAAATAGACCCTGAACAGCTGTGTATTTTTTGACCGAACATGTGTGTGTGTGTGTGTGTGTGTGTTGAGGGCACAACCTTTGGGCCTGGTTTTAAGGGACCCAACAGGGCAACCATTTTGGGGGTCCAAGTCCCTATTTCTTCGCCTATGGAACTAGGAGTCCACACCTTGCGGCTGGCTTCCTTCCGGGTGGCTCCACAAAAAATATGGTCAAGGAAAACCAAACGGAAACCAATATTCTACCTTTGGGTTTTGTTGATTTTTAAGAGGCTCGGTTCTTTACGTTGGTTTGGGTAGGCCATTTAATACCGGGTTTTGATTGGGCATTTCGGGTATGTTGGAGGCTTCCTTTTGGGACGCGGCTGAGCTTCCGGCATGATGGCGCCGCAATCGTCTCCCGTCAAAACTACCGGCAAAACTGGGAACTGCGCGGCCCTGGCAAAGGCTTTTTGTGGAGGATTGCTGGTTCTCAGTTGGGATTCAACAGCGGTCTTGGCAATGAACCACCCAGCCCGCAGGAAATCACAAGGGATGGTTCTTAAAGGTCATTCCCTCATTCCCTCATTCCCTCATTCCCTACTGAGAGCCAACGAAGAATATGGGGGACCTCCAGTTCCATTGGTCAAAACTCCCAAATGGGGACCATGGTGATGGCTCCGTGAAAAGGAGCCCTTGCTATGGATAAGGGCTTGATGAACATTATTACGGTACCCACCCCTATTCTAAGGGGTCTTTTGACCATCTTGTCCATTGCATTCTTCTTCCCAAAAGGTATCTGCACATTACGACTTTTACTGCCATTCCAAAACTTGAAATAAGAACTGAACTTTTAAGTGCAGGAGCCATCATGGGTCTTCAATCATCGACACAGTCACCACTTTTTAGGGGGTCCCTATCTTGAGAAACACACACATTGGTTGTTGCGGCAAGGCACTGGCTGGACGCTTTTTCTCGCTATGCCTGAGTCAAAAACCCGGCCATAAGTCCCAAAGCCACGAGAGGCTCTGTACCATCCCATGCCTACAGCATCTAGCGCGATGTGCTTTTAACTCACACCTATGTGTTAGCCATGCACACGTATTCAAAAGACAGGTAGATACTGAGATTTGGTTTTGCCAAGTAAACCATTTCAACATGTCTCCAAACTTGTCTCCGGCAAACGCGGGGGGACTGTGAGGAATCCGCCCGCAAGGATTCCTAGGTGCATTATCATTCAATGATCTCAGCGCCAACCGGCGGCTCATTTCAGTGACTGCACCGCTTTCTGGATCTCCTTCTCCCGGTCGTAGTACTTGTCCTGAAGCGTGAGCCAGTCCAACATTGGGCTATGCATCTTAGTTGGGAACCCTGACGGGCCCTGACGTGACATAATTGTCTATGGCGGAAAGGGGAGCTATTGCCTGGTCGTTCACTTGAGAGACAGTAGGGAACCCGACGTGAAAGTAAGCGCGCACGCCAAGTGGATCGATTCCCACTTTTGACCACGTGCCAACTGGCGCTGGTGCCAACTGCAAGGTTCTAAAAAAGGCCACGGCTTGAACCAATTTGATTTGCATGACCAACTCTGTATCTTGATGTATCTTGATGTATCTTGATGTATCTTGATGTATCTTGATGTATCTTGATGTATCTTGATGTATCTTGATGTATCTTGATGTATCTTGATCACTGCCTTCAGCTTCTGCGGGATCTTCTTCAGCAACTCCTGGGGGAAGATTCGCAGCAGCGTCCAAGCCTCGTGCCGATGCCACTTGACTTTTGCATTGCACTCTTCATGCGTCGAGTCACTCATCACAATTGCACAAGAGCAAAGCAATGGCGACGCGGCGGCGTTGCAGAATCATGATTGACCAGCTTGCTTTTGTCAAGCATTGTGCACCTGTGCCCAACCGGCGCAGGACGGCGCAGGTATGGTTCCCGGCAATGTCCAGAGAAGTGAAGATGTCTCGGTTCTCGTATGCGCCCTGCGCCCTCGGAAGGTCCAACAAGTCAATAGAGAGCAATGCACCACACACACACACACACACACGCACAAACTGCTTCCCTGCTTGGGGGAATTCAGCGGTTTCCACCACAGGAACATGAGGAGAATCTCAGGATGCCACAAGAACTTCAGCTCAAACTTGTCAGTGAACTCCAGGTACTTGTGCCTGGCATGCTTAAGCATGCCTCCTGTTGGCTCATTGCTTCTCGCTCAGACATGACCTTGCCACCTTGTTTTGACTTGTGTTGCATTGGCATACTTCCTGCAGGAGAAAGTTCAAGCTTCAATCTCAGTCATGTTCGAGCGATAGAAAGCATGGAACGCACTGCGCCGTTCAATCGAGGTTACACCATCGCGCCCCAATGAAACAACTTAGCAGCATCGTCGCGGCTCTGGCTGTTTTGGAGGCAAGAACAAATCGTCGGCTCCACTCATCCTCGCTGAGGGCCTCACACAGCGCTAATGCAGCGAACCCAGCTGGTTGGCACAAGAGACTCAAGAGACTTTGGCTAGCTGGCCTCCTCACCCACCACGGCCTTCATCGCGCGGGTGTCCTGACAGGTGCATCCTGATCCTTCCGAACGCGAGTCGCCCCACTGTGCCACGGAAAGCGGCGCAACACATTTCGCCTGGCCGATGGCATAGTTGGCATAGAGCTGATCGGAGACGTTGGGGTGGTCGTCCCGTGTCATGCCTCCACTTGGCATTTGTCACATGTTACACCACAAAGAAGAAGCACTTGAAGAGCATGTCTGCTCTTGCCTCCCTTCTGTTTGAAGTGCTTTTGCTCTAAACAGGCCAGCTGCACCCTTGCCAATGCCGGACTTCATCAATCGGCTCAGAGATGGCAGCACCTCGCTTTGATTCGTTTGGTAAAATGCGGCAAGCGGCAGCCACGACTCCATAACAATCAGCACACCAACTACTTGGGTGACCCGAAAATGGGTTCTAACTAAATGGTTCTGACACCTTGCCCCTTGGTGCAAGCTGGAACCGCCTACAAGAACCGCCTGAACTACGTGGCAATCCGTTCCGGAACGATTTGAGTCTGATGCGTTGATCGGCGGGTAGATCTGCCTATTGTGCAGAGCCCGGTCCACGAACACCTGCGAAGTGAGGCGAAACATCACAAGTGCATGAAATTTAAACGGCTGGACAAGTCGAACGGGGCTACATGGTGCTCACAAGGAGATCCTGCCTGGCCCTCCGTGATGTAGCCGGTCAGGTCGGGGATGGGGTGTGTGATGTCCTCAAGCCAAGTCGCGGATGCCAAGTTACTGGCATCTTACGCCAAGAGTGTCCCCAAGCGCCCAGCATCATTGGGCATGGTGAGAATGGGGAACTGGGTGATGGAGCCGTTTCCTCGGCAGCCAGGCTCGGAAATTGCGCGTCATTTTGGGCATATTCCCCTGCAGGTAAACATCAGGTTAACATGGAAGCCCAAACACATTGTTTTTAAATGGGAATCTCCTCTTAGGGGACGTCTTTTTTCTGTTTCTTGAATACTTTGCAGCGGAACAAAATCCTGAATTCCGAGCCCCAAGCGCCCCTCGACTCGTCCAGCTCGCTCGTAGATGGTCGACAAGTCCTTGTGAGGTGCAGGACACAAACAGCTGACGCGTGGCTTGATAGATTAGCTCTGAGGACCCTGCTGTGTACCTGCAGATTCTGGCTGTGAGGCAAAGTGTCACATGCCAATGCCATGCAATCCAGGCCACATGGTCAAACTTTCTTTGATCGAGAAATCAATGCGCTGACATGCGCTGACCACCCGTGCGGGGGGCACATGTATCCAGGATATCCTCGTCGGCCCGGCACCTCCTCTCGTGCCGCGGACACCTGTTGAGTGCTGAAGACGAAATACGAATCAAGACAATTCAAGTAAAGAGTATGCCCAAAAGTGCTATGGCGGCACCGGAAGCTTCGCTCGCACAACCTGTTTTGCCTTGAGCCAAAATGTACAAGTCATCCAAGGCGAACTGACTGTTTCTCATCAGTGTCAACCCTGGAAACCTGATTCAAAGGAAAGTTCAAGCAAACATGAATTCCGGGGGCAAGGTTGAATTAGACATGCATGCACCACCTACCATCAGGAAAATGTGGATTCCAGCAGGGGGCATTCTTCTCCCCCTTCTCACACTCGGAAAGTGTCCTACGCAGACTCCAGTTTAGTTATTTAACTATCTGGCCTACGCCTACGGGTCTCGGAGCGTTTCCGCTTCACGAGATGGCACTTTGCAAGTTGAGCTTAAGGATGCCATGTTAAGTAGGTCTAGTGCATGGTCCCACTTGCACACCGGCAATGGTTGTGTAAACACATCTGCTCTTTGCTTGTCCGTTGCTATGTACAGGAGTTTGCAACTTGGATCTTCGAAGACCTCATAAGCTGAACCTAGTTCGATCTTCTCCGTCTTCGTGAGGTGTCGCAATTTGGGGCTATAACCTGCAGCCACGATCTGGATTACAGCTGAGTTGTCCTGAAAGCACTCTAGCGTGACCTGACGGTCCAAGATCAATTCCAGGAAGCCTTGTGCTGGCAATGCTTCGCCGAAAAGGCCTGATCCTAGTGAGATCATCTCTGCTGCTGTTGTGCTCCTGGCAGTCGCGGTTTGGCGTTTACTGCCCCACGCGATTGGCCACAAGGTGTTAGGGCCCTCAATGGACAAGAACATGCCACTCGTGCTTCTTGTGTGTTCGATGCCACTACAGTGGTCCGCATCTGTGTACAAGCACAGCTTGAGCAGCTCTGGCGGGTCGCCTATATGTCCTTGTAAAGTATACCCTTTTGACCCATACAGGTAGCACATTAGCCTATGGAGCCGTTTATCATCTGCTCGGCTCCAAGTGGTAATCCTACGTGTCAAATCCCCTATCCCTTTCATTAGGTCGGGTCGGCTTAGCCTAGCGCACCAGAGGATTTTCATCAAGATTTTGCATGCAGAAGTTGCCAAAACCCCTTTACTTTCAAAGTCAGCGGTTGTAAGGCTACCTTCTGGGCAGAAAGGACTTTTAGCTGTGCTCAACTTACATTGAGCCAAGTCCTCATACACTGCACATGCATTCTCGATGAAGTCGAACATTTCGAGCGAAACCTTGGTCGATCCATTGGTCCGGTCGAATTTATGCTGTCTGCCCAGCACACGTTCAACTTGAGTTGGAGGTTCGATCTCCAAATGCTTTTCGATTTCCTGCCAAAACTTGTTTTGTTCTGACGACGGCCCTGAGCACAGAATGTCGTCGACGTAGCAGGTTACAAGAAGCTTCCTTTGTGGAAACCAAAATGAAGATGGAAATTCATCAACATGTTGACCTTCCAAAAGTTTCATCACTTCCCTTAGCCTTTGATCCCAATGGTATCCTGATTCGGGATGGCCATAAAGGCTCCTGACCAACCTCACACACGGCTGTTTGAAGTGCCGGTATTCTGGAGGAGTCAATTCCCAAGGCAAGATCACCCATGTGGGCACCTTTGTCCCAAGGTACGCTTGGGTGTAGGCTTTTACTACGTCTGATTGACGAGTTTCGTGACCCTTGATGGCGCCATATGCTAGATTGATGTTGACACCGGTCATTCCGGTCGGAGTGACTTTTGCTTCTTGGAGCACCGCAAGATTGTTGTCTTCCGTGAGGATGTGATCCCCTCGGAAAACTATCCTGGCCTTGAGTTTACGGAGTTCTGGGGTTTCCCAATGCTTTATCGACAAGATGGTCATTAGGGAAGCAATGTTGATATGCTCCTTGTTCCTTTTACATCTTGCCAAAAGGTCCTCTTTTGAGATTACCTCATCGAAAGTCCAGGTTCCGTTAGCTACTAGCCCATTCACTTCATTGTCAATGGCGTCTTGCGCTCCAAGAAAGTTACCCCATTCTTTCCTCTCCAACAATTTGTGGATGCCAGCAAACACATGTTCTACTCCTGGCAGCTCCTGATGACCTGCCTCGTCCTCTGGGGCGTGGTCGCCACACAGGAACTCTCGCACGGAGTTTGGCCCAGCTGACACTTGCACAGGCATTGCAGGCGGTGCGTCAATCCAGGGATACAAGGACTGAGAAATGCACCTTGCCATAGGCATCGGATAAAAGGCACTTCTAGGTGTCTTACTGCCTGCAAGAGGTGAATGCTTATAGTCACGCGGATGTTGGCACTTGGCACTGTCTAGGTTTTTAGCCAACCTCCATGAAGAGGTTACAACTCTCCACGTCTTGAGGTGACATTTACCTTCTTGGTCACAGAGTCCAAATGCACAACCTTGAGGTTCCGCCACGAACAAGTCATGCCTCTTGACAAACCTGATCAGCTCTGGCAAGTCCCATCCGGCACATGTCTTTGGCCACTCGAAGGCAACGTGGCCCCCTTGACTGAGGACTTTGTCTGCACAACGAATGTAGTTTGCTAAAATTTTCCTAGAATGCTTGCGCATTTTCTTGAGTTTCTTAGCAAACGGTTTTCCGTATTGATGGAGATTTACATTCTGCCATTGCGACCAGGGGCCGCAAGGAATCGATCCCCACAAATCACACCCGGGAAATTGTTCTATGACCTTCAAAAGACTGTCATTTTCCCACTGGCTTGACATGTCAGAGTTCTTTGTTGTGAGTCGAAAATGGTTGATTCCTCTTTCTTCGTTGATCTGACCCAACGTTGAGTTCTCATCGCAACAAAACTCAAAGAGTGTCGGATTCGCCGATCGACCTTTGCGGTCTTCACGTGCAGGCTTGACCAAGTCCTTAGTGAGTTCAAGGATTTCTCTGGCCTTCCTAGTTCGTGCTTGGCTGTCACCGGCTTGCTCGATGAACCTTTGCATAGCTCTGAGATTACCGTCTGAAGGGTTGGCTGCGGCTGCACACAGTTGCGCTTGATCTGGCGACACACGTCCTTTCGGAAAGAACCACGTCTTACCAAACCAGCTTTTGGATGAAATCCTTTGATACGGAGTCTCTTGCCAGTTGTCCCTATGCACGGAAACCTTCCCCTTGCATCTCCACTCGGTGATGCGTTCCGGCTCAACCTCGTTGGAGTCGAAAGGACAATCCTTACCCACTGGTGCAAATAGCCTTTTCCTAGGTCTTAAATGCACTAGTACCCATGCGTGCCTTGCTTCATCAAACTCCCAATAATCCTTGGTTTCGGAGTTGTCCTCAACCAAAGACTTTGCCCCCTTGACGTCCGATCTTGGCCCTTTGTTTTTAGAGTCTTGAAAAGAACAGTTGTGACAAGAGTCGACGGCGGTGGTACCAGGAGCATCGGTTGCTTCACTGGTCCTTTGGGTTAGCGTGATGACTGCTGCTGGAGTGGGCGGAACTGGTGTCGAAGGTTCTGGGCCAGATCCAGGAGTACGAGGTACCGGTGTACCCCGCGAAGCAGGAGTCGGAGGCATCGGTATCCCCCTTGCTGCTGCCTCTTCCCGGGCCTTAGCCTTGGCCTCCTGTGCCAGCCTCTCATCCTCGAGGAGAACACGGAATCTGTCGTGACATGCATCGGAGTGCGGTACTCCTTCCGAGATCCTTTCACACCCTTTGCAACCCGGGGTTCTACCAAATTTGATGGCCCTCTCCAACGTCACATAGGTTCGTTTTCTCCTAGGGACAGGATCTGGGACTTCATCGTCAAATGGCAAAGCCTTCCTGGTTGAAATGGATGGTGGGGTTGATTTCGCACTGAACAGCTGAAGCCTTTGTTGCTCTGCCTCAAAAAGAGGGAAAACCCAATGTCCATTTGAAGGTTCGACCAATTCTGTTTCGTAAACTTGGATTGGCTTACCACAACCTTGAGTGTTTTTGCGAAGCGACTCAAAGTCTAGGACGAGGTGTATGCCCCTAAATTTGTACCCTGCGTCAATCCTCCAGCCAACGAATATGCCGGGGTATGTCCTCGGCTCGAAGTCCGGAAGCTCTCGATGCTTGGGCGGCTTGTAAAACACCAGGCAACCAAACGGCAGCTTCAAACCTGTGAAGGCGTCACCGCCGCTCGCGGCTTCGTATGCGTTCTGAGTGGCTTTGAGATTCTTGACATCCTCCGAATCATTTGGATGGATTGCCGCATTTGTTGACACGGCTAATGCGGTGCACACGTACTCGACACTTCTTGGCCAAAACTGGTGAGGCAAACCAGATTTCAACTGAACAGCTCTAGTGGCTTCCTTAATGCTCCTGATCTTCCTTTCCGTGACTGGATTGTGGATCTGATCATTTGGAACACTAGGATCTGGAAGCCATCCAAGGTACTCTACGGCACCCTTGAGCTCTTCTGCACAGTCGGTTTTAACCTGACACAGTGCCTTACCATGAGCTCTGGTTCCTCCAAAGTGCTGAAGACACCTGATGTTGCTATCGGTGTCCCGCTTAGTTTGCGGATACGCGGCAAACGCACCTGAATAGTCATCTAAGACTACCAAACAACAGCTTTCCCCATCTGACCCTTTTGACAAGCCCGTGATCGTGTGATCTGCTCTGAGTTTGTGGCCAAAATGCAAAGGAGGTGTTTCCTCCGGATCTATTTCCAGACCCCTTTTGCGGTGAACCTTTGCGGTCATCTTAGCCCTCCTGCAAATCTCACAGTACCTGTTGTTAGGAAAGTGCGTCAACTGATGTTTTTCGGAGTTGGCTTCTTGCTGAAGCTTTTCACGCAATGAGGGGGTCCACTCCTCATCTTCAGAGGTTAGCGGCTCGTCCCCAGGTTCCTTTTCTGGCTCTCTTGCTGCAAGAAGTTCCTCTTCAACCCCAAAATGAGGCAAAGAGTCGTCGAGCTTCACGCCCCTTTTTGACCTCGGTAGGTCTGAAGGGTGGCCAGGCGTGGGCGGAGCTTCTTCAAACGCTTTGGCGTCCGGTGCAAGCAATTCATGAGGTCTCACTGACGGCCTACTTGTGTCCCCTTTTGATGAGGACGAAGGCTCTCCTCCTGTTGCTGGCATTCCTGACACGGCATCTGGTGCTGCGACAGCCACGCTTTCGGATAGGATTGGAACGTTTTGCTCCACACGATCGGCATAAATCCTGGCTGACTCCGGAACGTGATGTACGACATCACTCACCCGATCTGCTTTGATTAGGTATGGGAGTTGGCCTGGAAACCACACAAATGGCCTGCCATGCTGTTCCACTTGAAGGCCTACCGACAAGGCATGAGGGCAATCCTTCAACATGTAGAACGTGTTTGTTCCTGACAATTCCCCTGAGAGATCCACCACTTCAGCACTAGGCCTGATGCCACCGCCGGTGCAGAATTCGATCGGCTCATTTGCCTCGTGCACATGCTCCCTGAAGGATTGCGGCAAACTCTTGCTTGAGATTAAGTTCCTACCGGCACCTGTGTCCAGCAGAAACTCTTGCTGCACTGGCTGGCTAAGGCACGCAATCATGGTTGCCACGGCTTTCATGCATTGCGACAACACGGGAGTGCAAAATGCGGTCTTCTTGCACTTCTTGGCTGCTTTCTTAGCTTCAGCAACAGTTCCTTTCAAGGCATACGCGGCTGCGAAAACCTTTGCTGCCCCTGCGTTGACGGAGGCTGCACCTGCTGGCGATGACGTCTGAAGCCCTTTTGGCTTGGGTCCCTTATAGAGATTGTTGGAATCATGCAGATAGAAGCACTTATCACCTTTGGTGCAAGCATTATACCCAAAGTACATGCAAGGCTGCTTCTTCTTCTCTTCATCCGTTAGCCTAGGAGTGCCCTTAGGAGTTGTGTCCCCCTTCTTACCCTTGCCACCCTTACTCTCGCCCTTGCCTTTCCCCTTTGCGGGTGCTGCATTCGCTTCTTTAGGCTTCGGATCTTTGGAGTCTTTGGGCTTCTGGCTGGATGAAGGTTGCTCCTTTTGGGCTTCCCCCTTCTTCTCTGCCTTCTTCTTGTCGTTCTTGTCTTTCCCTTCCTTTGTCTTGGCTGGCGCTGCTTGGGACTTAGTTGCGGATTGCGTGTACACCTGATCGATTGACACGACATTTTCATCTAGCTGATGAATCTCGATGATTTCCCCGAGCTTCGCGTAAAGCCAAGGCCAAGTCCTTTTACTGCTGTTTGGACTGGCGTTCCTGAAACGGTCGATCACCAAAGCCATTTTTGGATGTCCTTCCAATTGCTCGAAAAGGGTACTCCTAATAGCTTGGTCACTCGGTCTCTCGGAAACTTCCAAGGCCTGGTACACGAAGTCGAATCTCTGACGGAAATCTTCGAGTGCCTTAATGTCGGTGCCGCTCATCTTGAGGCCTAAGAGATGGGTTTGAGCCAAGGCAATTCCCCTATCCTTCTCCATCTTAAACCTCTCAAAGATGACCCACAACAACTTCCGCCCCTTTGGCTGCTTGAAGACCCGTTGCTCTTGCTCCTGAATGGATTGGAAAAGCATGGCAAACTTGGTGTTCTTCGACAGCTCAAGCAGCTTTGAACCCAACACTCGATCAAGAATTGGAAACGGAAGGCTCGACTCGAGATCGGCTTTGGGATTAGTGCTTTCGGCGATCCAGCTATGGATTAAGGATTCGTCACCCTTTGCAAGCCTACACACAAGGTTGAAAACCGAGTTCCTGAATAGGCGAGCGTCTGCCGCCGTTTTGGGCAGCTGAGGCAACTTCATCTCATCATATGCCTTCACACGCATGAGTTTCTTTTCCCTTGAGTAGGCATCGATTGCCGCGTCAATTTGGGCCATTCCCTGATTTCCTTGAGGGGGAATTGAGGGGCCCTGAGGAGGTCTTTGCGAGCCTCCTGGCGAACCTCCTGGTCTCCCGCCGCCTCCACCCTTGTTGGATTCGCTTGATGAGCTATCCGAGTGATCTGGCGACCCAGGATTAGAACCATGCTGTGAACCATTTTGCGATCCACCCCCCGACTGCCCTCCCACAGATCCTATGTTGAAAATCTGAGGGACCTGCCCTGTTCCTGCCTGATGAATTTGCGGCACAGTTTGAGCGGCGGCAGTCTGGGATGCAAATAGCTCAAAGGCTGATGTGAGTTGATCCAAACGCCTTTCTAATGCACTTAATCCCGGATTCGGTGCAACTGGAGAAGAATCCCCAAAAATGTTTCTCACAGCACCTGATAAGTCCCATGATGAAGCATTTTGTGCACTGATTCCGGTGGCTTGCCTGATGTGAACCATTGCCATGCGCTATCGGTTGGGGGTTTCCGGTGCCCTGCGGCATCACGGACCCGTCCTGCACTGGCTGGCTGGTGCCCGAAGGCATCACAGCAGGATGCCCACTCGCCTGCAGTGGCTGATTATCCGCGCCATTATGGATGCATGCCAATTCCCTTTTTAAGGATTGATTTTCGGCCTCAAGAGAATTCAACCTTTGCTCCATTGCTAGCAATCGGTCTGCCAACTGTTGCGCCCTCTGCGTTGCTTCGGCCTCCCTAAGTTGGTGTTCCCTAATCTGGTCACTTGTGCCATGCTGGGTCCTCGTCAAGGCATCTTGGAGTGCCTGAACCTGTGCGTTGGCTTGTGATTCCAAATAAAGGACTCGCTCCTGGGCTTGTCTCAATTGGTCCCCCGACTCATGCTTGGTCCTTTCAAGTGATTCCTGAAGGGCATGAACTTGATTGAAGGATTGGCTTTCCAATTGATTTACCCTATCCCTAGCCTCGGCCATTAAGCATTGAGCTTGGGCTTCAGTGACAACCAACCTCCTATCATTCTCTCTCAAATGTGCTTCAGCTCTTTCGACCAGTTGTTGATCCAATGATTGAACAACCATGGTCGGCTGGTACACTTGGGTGTGATGAGCTTGAGCGTGCATTTCAACATTTGGGGAGAAATGATGATGCTGATGCAACTGAGCACTTTGCATGTTGATCCTACTTCCCATCGGTTGGGATGATGCCGTGGACATGCTAGTGTCTTCATTACTATTACTAGAGTCTGCGACCTGCGGGGGTGAAAACATCTGTACAGATCCCTGAGCAGCTGGAACTATTTCTGACGGCTCCATTGCTTCTTGAAATTGGTCGGACAGGAAAAGCTACTGACGCAATGCCTGCTTGCACCTTGCGGCGCACTCCGGCCAATGGGCCACACAATCCTCAAGAGGTCCGACTGGCCTGAACAAATTGTTGGCCGGTGGCTTTCTGCGAAGCTTGATGTGGATGCCCGAGATGTTGTCCTGTACCTGGCGATCGATGATACTGTTGATGACCTCGTCACTGTCGTCAACGATGAATGCCGAGCGGAATCCAACTGACAGCAGATCCTGAAGGACTAGCACCTTCCCACCTTTCTGGGTCCTGGGATTCAAACTGGCCCTCTCAGAAGTTGTAACGATGAAGTCAAAAACTGATGAGATGTCCGGAGTGCGATTGAACGCAGCAACCAATGCGTCTCGGCGTTCTTGGCTATGAAGGTAGGATAGGCAGATTGTCACAACGTGGATACCTTCGCGAAAGAAAGCGGCTTTCAGCTGTCTAATCGCTTCGAGGTTGTCGTGGCAAATACCTTCGTAATCCCACTCTGTGCGTCCGCAACGGGCTCTGTCAAGAACCTGGTGATAGTCGATTGCAACCACGCAACTGTCCCGAAAGTCAATGCCGTAGCGCGGCTCGTAGACAAAGGACAATCCTTGATCTTCCCAATTGCTGTTCACACACTTGAATACTCCTGTGGCAAGAGTCAAATCACAAATCACCGCAGCGAAGTGATGCCCGGAAGGCTCAGCGCGCCTCGGCGTACGTGAAGTGCTCTCTGGCCTCGACGCAGCTTTGCTGGTCGCCTGGAGCAATCTGTGCTGCACAGGCTCCGCAGATGACGATGCAGGCTCTTCGGCTCGGAGCGACTCGCGCTGCACAAGCCTAAGAGGAGCAGACCGATCCGCTGCCTTCACAACCCGAAAAGACACCCGATGATTCTGGGGCTCCTCAGTCAGACGCTGTTGCTCGTTCCAAAAGGCCTGTTCGTAGAGCTGTAGCTGTTCCCAGTTGACTTTTGCACGTGCAAGCCTGTCCCAGGTGCTATCCAGCACAAACGGAGGTTCGTTTGATAAAACCCCCTCGGCCAATCCGTCACGTAGTACACCAAGTTTCTGTGACTTGCCTCTTCGTCCGGCTCGATGCCAACCGAAGAGGTTCCACAGTTCCGGTGCCACTCCCGGATGCTCGACGCCCTCACCTGCCGTAGCTATCGGTCGCAGCTCAAAAGCTACGGCTGATAACCAGACGAAATACGAATCAAGACAATTCAAGTAAAGAGTATGCCCAAAAGTGCTATGGCGGCACCGGAAGCTTCACTCGCACAACCTGTTTTGCCTTGAGCCAAAATGTACAAGTCATCCAAGGCGAACTGACTGTTTCTCATCAGTGTCAACCCTGGAAACCTGATTCAAAGGAAAGTTCAAGCAAACATGAATTCCGGGGGCAAGGTTGAATTAGACATGCATGCACCACCTACCATCAGGAAAATGTGGATTCCAGCAGGGGGCATTCTTCTGCTGAACCCCGAAGCGTGGCGGTGGCGGAAACTGATGGCTGCAAGAGACTTGGGTGTGTACCGTAACATCCCACCAAAGGACAACTCACTTTCAGTCGGCCTCAAATGTCGATGTTTAAATCCACCAAAAGGGGAGATAGACTCGAAATCCACAAAACACACTACTTGGGATAAATGAATCCCGATCCCCATAAACAATGCTTGATAAACCATCAATTCCAACTGGTGCACGATTTGGTCTATCCACTAATATCTTGTTTTGTTTTCCTTCTGGATTCTCTTGACAACCTCAAAAGGGGATAGCCTAAACCACGCACACACCCACACACACACACACACACCCACACACCTTGCCAAAAGCAGCCCCTGACACGGACATAGAGCCCTGAGGGCCCTTCTGAGGCTCGGCGAAACAGAACCAATCGGCCTCTCGCAGGGCGTCCGCATAGGAACTCATATCCGTGAGAATCACGAAGACCTGCAGCTGGGTGTTGGAGGATCTGGGCAAGAGCCACCTCCCCTTTGATTTCCTTTCGAGGAAATCTATTAATCATGTTGGGCTATTTGGCACCCAGGTTACATCTGGCTCCTCAACCAAACATCGTTTCACTCACATCATCAGATCTGCACAGGCACAGGGGACAGCGCATTCGTTAGCTGGGGCACCGAACGTGCTGCTCGCGCGTGTACCTTAAAGCTGCGCCCGATACGCTGTAGATCAGTGTAGAACCCAATGACCCTCCTTTTGGAGAACCCTTTTTTGTGTGAATCAACCCCCATTTCAATATCAAAAGAATGGTTGACAAAACCTGGACCATGAAGAGGTAGACCATGGTTTGTCTGAACCCAGCCATTGCTTCAATGGTTTGACTCCGGGGCGTGCCAATTTACCAGGTTTTCGTGTGCTGCCTGCTCCCAAGGCTCGCGGATGGCAATTGCACGAAAGACCACGAAATAGTAAGTTAATGTAAGTTACGTAAACTAATGATATGGTTGCCTCCTTCCTCTTGTGGCTCGAACCGAGTCCCGGTAGCTTCGGTTTGTGTCTCTCGCCATCTGTGTCACTGCCGAGCAGCGCGAAGTACTCTGCCGTGGTGAGCGCAAGTCGGGGCGTGACAATGCGCTCAATGGTGGGGTCCTCAAGAGCTACTTAAGCCAAAAGTGAAAGCAGAAGCAGGGATGCAGTGAGGGTCCCAGTAGTTACATTCTGCAAGTAGGGAAAATCCAGCAGTTTATCATGCTTGTGGTTGACTGGCAATATGGAAATGCGTGTGGGTTGCACAAAGCAGGGCTCTCTGCACTCAGTTCCCACTTGGTGGCCCCACATTGGCCAGGTTCATGAAAAGCACAACGTTCTCCATGGAGCCGTTCCTGCAGCGCCAACTCCGATTGTTTGGGTCCAGAAAACTTTGCACAGAGTGCATTCGAATCTCACTTACGAAGTGGATTGGCCAAACCAAGTCTGAAATTGTTTTTGCCACAAAAATTGTCTTTCCAAAAAGTATGAAGTCCAAGAACTCAGGTGCGGGGTGTCCTTCAATAGGGGACCCCTATTGAATGCTCGCTCGTGATCTCTCTTCAAACACCCTTGTACAGGGGTCGTTCGCCCACTCATATGGGTTATCCCCAAAGCGATGCTCCGAAATGGGCGCTTCCCGTTTGGGTTTTCTTCCAACCAACCCCAAAAGGATACACCGACATGTTCTTTTTCCAACTATGGAACCCTTTTGCAGGATTGTTTCAAGGGACACTAAATGGAACCAGCCACCTGGATGGGCCCCCTCCTTTTGAGAAACACCCAAAATGTGAATTTCGGTGCTGGCTCTGTACTCTTGAGACCCTGAGCCCGGTACTCTTCGAAGTCATTCCGGAAGAACCGCGCAGTCTCCATGTTGACACCTCAGCTACAGTCAGCATAGGAGCTGCGGACAAACCGTCTTGTTTCCCCAAAAGGACATGGTGGTTGGGGATTCGAGTTGGCCATGTCCTCCTCAAACCAGCAGTTGACTGCCAATACTTGTCACTCAAAGGCAGCTCAGCTGAGGCAGTTCCTCTACTCGCAAAACAACACAAGCAGCTGCAGGAAACTCTGTCAGCTGTTTGTGGGTGTTTGACAAATTTCCTGTAGAACTTCCTGGTTGCTGATGACATATGGACATATTGGACGGTTGCCCTTCTTGGAATTTCAGTGACTCCAGGTCTCTCTCAAATTGACCATACACCAACTTGGGGACATTTTGACCTTGAGCTTACTGGCCAGAACCAGCCATCATTCAGGTAAATGTCCACCCACTTTGCAGGGCCCCAAAAAAAAACACATTTCCACCTCCGGGTCTAGGCTGCCCGCCCATGGCTCCGAAGACGATGCTAAAGTTCTCCTGGGTGTGATCCATCACCTGGGTGAAAACATCAGCTGAAAAACAACCCGCGCGGCGCATGGCGGTGCTAGCCTGGATGGCCAAAACCCTGCACCAGGTGGGCAGGACGAAACCAAAACAACTGGATAGACCACCTTCCAGCTGGTAAGACGCCTTCCATCCAGAGCATCACGGCCAACAAGCATAGACAGGAAAATGCTGGCCAGTAGTTTTCCTTGCGCGAGTTGTGTGCAATTCCTTCAACAAACAGAAAAGAACCTGCAAGATGAGCTTCCTAGAGGGATCTGCCAGGTGCTATGGCCGAGCAGAAATCACGTGGCCAAAGCCGAAAGTTGAGCTCACTTCCGAAGTGGATTGGCCAAGACAAAGTCCAGGAACTTTTTGCGTCTTCCCAAAAAGTATAAAGTGCAGGAAGTGAGTGAAGGCTCAACGGAAGAGCAGCCATGTGTCGTACCTGTAAGGGATCACAGCTGAGGCATCGGGCATCCTTTCCCTTCACCAAGGATGCCTGTCGGCACACCTGCCCGAGCACTGTCTCTTGGAACTTGCCTCAGGCTTTCCACTCATTTCACCACTACTTCCAACAGGACATGGCGTAGAACACCTGACTCTCCAGTGGTCTCAGGGTGATACACAGTTGTGAGTTGTGTCTTGTTTGGGGGTACCCCTTTTTGGCGGTTTTAAAGGGAAGCCAAAAGGAGACCTACCACTGGGCCCCCTAAAAAATACACGCCATACCCCCATGTTTGGTGGGAGGTTGTGGGCAGCACCTAAATTGAAAGCAAGTAGGCTGAAAGAGAACAGCAATCCTGTCAGCCCGTGATCCTTAGTGTCTATTGGCCCTTATTGAAACATATTGAAACAAGGGGTGTCCGGGTGTCCCTTGGGGCAAATTGAAGACGCCAGTCTTATGACCAATGGGCATGGCGAGAAACAAAAACGACACGATGCCTATGGGACTCCCACCTGAGCCGCGATCTCGTTGTGCGGCAGACCGGCTGCCTCGTGTTTGTCACTCTCACTCTCGTCGCCTCCAGTTCCCACGGCCCGATCATTTGGCCACCGTCAAAGTCACCCCCCTGAGTGGTCGGTTGAAGGGACACCTCCTCAGTTTCTGACTTTGCCGCCTAGTGGAAAGTCAAAGTTTATCCATAAACCTCGTAAACATTATTGTTTTCGATTGGGACTGTCACTTGTAAACCTTCACTTCCCTGAGTCTTGATGGCTCCCGACCTCGCCACTTTTCGAGGAGTCTTGGGCTCCCGGCCGAGAAAAGCGGCAGCTTCTGACCTCGCACCACTGAGTTCATGGTGTCGATGGCACTGATGCCCGTCCTAAGGCAGGTCAACCGATTCGGTGGATAAAAAATATCAAATCACAAAATTAATGGCCAAGAAACCATGCACAATCAACGATCTGTAACAGTAGGCTAGAAGAGTGGAGGGGAATAAAACAATGTTCATTCAAGACTCTGCAAATTGCGTGCCATCGTAGGTCTGCCACTAGGACTTGCCTAAATTGCCCATTGACTTGCGACCATCCCCGCGAAGCCCAAGCGAGTTTGCTCTCCGTTCGAATCCGAGTGCAAGGCTGGATCATCTCCTTGGGGTACACGCGAGACCTTGGTTCATCTCAGGCAAACGAAAACATTCATACAAACATGTTTCTGCACATTATTTTCTTCTACTAAAATGTCCAACAAGTGCTTCCATTTCTCGCCAAGCCGCTTGGGGTTCAACGGCGCGCCGTTGATGTCCAAGAACTCCTCTGCCAACACAGTGGGCCTGACCAAAGAGGCGCTTCTATCGTGTTGCAGCGAGAGCGGGCAAGGACACGTTGAGCTGAAATTCCATGCACCCTCTGAGCCCGCATGCCCTCTTTCCCCTCCGACCCAGAAACCCTGCGCACCCCTTGTCGATGGGCTTGCCGGAGCCGTTGAAGGCACGACCTTTTCAGTCGGAAAACTCACAGCCAGGCTTTGTCGCCCCGCCCTAAGGTCGCGTAGCTTCCGGAAACCATCGCAAGCCTTTCTTGATGCAACGCATCCTGGGATTAAGACCCATGAGGTCATCTGAGATCGGCATCTTCAAGGTGTCGCCAGTGAATTCGATGTGGCAGTCCCTTGCAGCGGCCGACATGTTTGTGTTCGTGTTGTTGGGGGCCAGCAAGCTAGGACAACAGTGCAGGGCATGGAGAACAGGCGCTTCATGCTCAATATGCCACTGCCAGTTAATATGCATTCCCAACGCACTGAGACGCATGCTTGTTGTCGATGTTGCTAGTACCCTCGAAGACCTGCACGATGGCCTGCCAAATCGCTGGATGGCAGTGTCTTCGTGACAAGACCTGCGTCGCTGAAACCGGCCTTCTTCTTGTTCACCTCCAAAATCTGCCCTTGTCGAACGGTACCGTCCTCGAATGAATCTGCACTTGCCATCTCGCTTTTCCAAGGGCCTCGACAGAAGAGGAAACTCCCATGGAGATCATATGGACTCCCCCAAAACGGATCGAGAGAGGCCTTATCATAATTAATAGTGTTGGTGTTTTGGGCTCCATGTTAATTTGCAGGAAAAGTAACCTTTTGGAACCTTGACTACGTCAAAACCTTCAAGAATTCATGTACGACCTCTCTGCCAGAGTCTTTGAGCACGTGAAGCTGGCTGAGGCCCTGACGGACAGGTTGACGTTAACAATCTCACCTGTGCTGGGCCATACAGCCCAGGCAATGGAACTACAAATAGGTGTGTCTAAAGAATGAGGACGTGTCCTGTAGAGCAACACCAAAAAGGGTACCTTTACAAAAGAAGAGCCGCCCAAATGCAATTCCCAGGGGCACTCATCAGTTCAACCGAATCCATCCTGGGTCAAGCGGAAAATCTGCAGCTTGGAAGGTAACATCACAAGCGTAAGTGGGCTTGTTGTTGCTGAGGGGAAGGTAACCTGTAGCTTCGTTGAAGGGAGATAATCAGGCAAACCGCAGCCATTTTGCGTGTCCCAATCCCAATTTTAACACCAAAGACTTGGGGGAAAGACAGGAAAACTACGAGTCTTGCGCCGGGCTCCCGGCCGTAGGTGGGGAACTTCACGTTTTCCATGATGACCAAAGGCCCCTGCCGGACGGCTTGTGTTCATCTCGGGTACACTGGACATCGAGTGATTTCTGGCCTCAACGCCGGTAATGGTCCGGTAGTCGATGCGAGGGTACACCTGCGACGCGGTTGGATGGCACTAGAAGCTGAGCCACTTGCAAAGTGCTGTCAAGGGTGTTTCTTAGGCTGCAAACGTGGCTTAGCTTGCGGAACACTTTTACTTGGGGGCTCAAGTACCCCCACAAGGGCCTCCAAGTCCTCTTTGGGGGGGCCCTGACCATGGGAAAGGCCTCACGCCTTCGATTCAGCACGGAGGGGTGGATTCGCAGGCGCTTCCAAACATAGATGGACAGTTTGGGTACGCCTGTGCTAGGGGTGCACGTTTCGGAAAGCTAAGGAAATCAATCATACAAACCGGCGAGCCAGGAATTTCTGCAGGAATTGGCCACCACCCGCCCAACAACAAGAGTTTCCTGCAGAATTTCCTGCAGCTGGTTTCTTAGATGAAGGCCGATCGACGGCGGCTGGAACCTTATAATCGCGGCTCGCGGCCGCGGCATTGACGGCAGCGGCAGACCTCAAATCAAATGCAGGGCTCTCATTTTGCCTGATCACGGGGAGGAACCCATCAGATTTGTTTCAAGGACCCTTGTAGGACAGTCCCACGTTAGCTGGTTGGTGTCAGCGCAAGTTTCTACCTTTGACGTTTTGATTATCAATTCTAGGAGCGGAAAAGGCTCACGCAGCTTTATGCAACTCTGATCCCAAGTAAACCAGGGAGTAGAAGCCAGCGGACGGGTTTTTCCCGACTTTTTGTTTTGGACCCCAAAACAAAGAGGTAGGCCAAACAACAGGTTCTGGGGTTGTTAAAAACAGAGCCCCCAAAGAACCAGTCAAGAAAAATGCAGATTGCTGGGTTGGAAAAGCAAAGGCCCTGCAGAAACCCTTTTGGGCCAACTTACGGAATCGGTTTTTGGATTCATTGGGGATGATGGACGTACGAAGTGATTTCTCTTCCTTTGGTGTAATTCCCTGAGCTGTAAGTGAGAGGGAGGATGGAGGAGATATTAATTCTAAGATAAAAGAAATACAAAAATAATACAAAATAAATATTAATTGACTATGGGATAATACATTGCATGGAGACGAAAGAAGATAGGATGGTGAAGCGAGGTGAAAGGAATGGGAATAAAAGGCTTGTAAGAAGAGAACCATTCCTCACCTCTATCCCTTCATCTCTCTCGCTTCTTTGTGACTCGCGAGTTCTGAGATGAAGATAATGGTACACAAGCCCTTTCCCTGCAGTCAACGGTTGAGGATAATGACCAAAGGGAAAGACATGTAGATAATGACCAATTAAGACTGCAGGAGACCAAGAATTCCATCATTAATATTCCTTTCTACTCCTCACCATAAGAACCCATTCAATAAATCCCAAGATGAAGATATGAAAGTAAAAGAAAGATATAAAAAGACAAGGAAAAAAGACAATAAGAAAGAGATAGAAAAAGAAAAGAGAAAAGACAAGATACCAAGCGCTTCTTTCCCTCTGTTCCATCGTCTATTGCTTAACCGCTTGGTGACGGAGCAAATGGTCATGAACATACCAGCAAAGAGAAATAAAAGCAACCAATATACAAAATAAATAAAAGAAGACCAGCAATAATAATCCAAAATAAAAGAAAAAAGATAATAAAATAGTAAATGAAAAAGAGAAATGAGAGATGACTTTCCTTCCCATTCATTCACTTGTCACCCAACCTCTGTTTCCAAGTTCATTCATTCCCTTCTATTCCTTCCATCTCTTTCTTCTCTTTTATTATTATTGGTTGCCTCGCAGGCTTGACGGAGTGGTGACCAATGGATGGGTAAGGTGGAAGGACGTGAAGGATGATGACGAAGGAAGCCTTCCAATTCACTCCTCCATCTCCCATCTATCACTTTCACTCCCTTTCTCTTCATGCCTTCTCTCTTCTCTTCATATCTTCCTGTTTCCTTTTCCCCTTCATTCGCTTCTCTGTAAGTCTTGAATGGAGAAGCATTAGAATGAAGAAGGAAACGAATGAACGGAGAGAATGGGATGGAAGATAAAAGAGAAGCCTTTCCTTGTCACTCTTTTGGAGTCTCTTTCACCCTTCTTCCTTCTATTGGTCTCTTCTTCCTACGTCCTGCCACTCTTTTCATTCGTTGGCGACAGGAAGGAGACAGAGAGTGAGTGAAAGAGATGGCAGGGAATGGTGGGTCGCTGTTACATGTCTTTTCTCCTCGTCTCGCGACCCAATGAACACATCCATTATCCCCCGCCTATTAACCATTTCATAATCCAAAGGCGGGGAAATGATATGAAGGAAGACATGTCCCTCGCGAATCGCGGGTGAAGGGACATGACAGCGAGTGGAAGAGAAAAGAGACATGTCCGCTCCCATCTATTACTTCTGGAGCGTCTATTCCTTGAGAATCTGAGGTAAAAGAAAGGATAGAGATGAAGGAAGTAGAGAGGTGATACACAGGGAGAAGATAGACCTCTAACTCACTTCCTCATCCTAATGTGTGATGAATGATGGCTATTCCTCTCTCTCTAATGCATCCGGATTCATCCGTGAGATGCATGGAGGAAAGAGGATATGAAAGCCAAATATTATCTTTTTAATTAGAATTTATTATTTACATTTCTTTTTCTATTTAATAATCTACTTTCCTTCCTTCTTTCCTTACCAATCTTCATTCATATTATTTAACCGCATTATGATAGGACCTTGAGGATATAGCGGGCAGCATGTAGATAAGGATTATGGAGACAGATCCTGACGAAGAGAAGAAAGACAGGTAATTCCTAACATCTGGATCTGGGATTAAGAGATTCTTCTTTGTCCACCATCAAATCTTCACTGTAGGACCTGACAAGATGAGCCGGAGATAGATGAGAGTGAAGGAAATGAGAGATGGAGAAAGAAGAAATGAAGAAAGAATAATAATGGATCTCTGCTCCTCTCCATCTCTTTGCCGTGTCTTTTATCTCTCTCCTGGACACGGCCCCATCCCTTTATTTCCCTATCTGTTGGGTCTTTGTGGGAGCAGACATTCCCTTATCTCCCACGACCCAACATTATCACTCTCTATATCCTGTTTACTCGCGAACAAAGGGAGCGAGGGACAGGGATAAGAGAGAGTGAGATGGCGGCTTTTCCAAGAGAATCTGTTTACTGCCGCCATGACATGCATTCTTTATCCACATCCATCTACAAATTACTTTAGGATGTGGAACAAGAATGAGAGAGATGAAAGGGAGGGATTTCCTGTAGACCAACCTTCATCTCCCATTATCTCCTTTCTATTTGTGGGTTTGGTCGCGAGAATAGAAATCCATTAAAATGCGACCAAAGAGAACCCACAAAGGAAAGGGTGTGAATGGAGTTAATGTGTGTTGAGGATGGGAGAAAGAGAGTGATATGAGAGACCCATCCAACACACACTCCATCCTACCTCCTCCCTATCCTCTTTCCCTTTGGTCTCTCGCATCTTCCGGAAGAGCATGAACGAAGAGAATGGGAAGGAGGGAGAAAGAGAGATGGGAAAGGACATGTACACCCTCCAACATAAGAGCGAGAGGGAACGAAGAAAGAGTGAGTGATAATTGGTTGGAGGGAATGTCCTGCCTGTCACTTCGTTCCTTTCCTCTTTCCTTGTCTCGCTTCTTTCCTGTTGACGAAGCAATCCAAAAGCGAGGAAACGTGAAGGATAAAGAAGCAGGAAGACAAAGGAAAGGAATGGGAGACAGCTTTCTCGCTTCTCGTCTTCACTCACCGCTCCCTGTCTCCTATCTGCTGTCAGCCATCTTCCAGCATCTAGAATCCATCCCGCCTCTCGGCTCTCACTTCCAAGACTCACGAGCGAAGAGATGAGCGGGAAGGAATGGAGCCAACTCATCACCTCTCACTCTCCTCTATTCCCTTCCCTCTATTCCTTCATTCATTGACACCTCCGACACAAGGATGAGGAAGGAGGGGGATAATGGACATGCCTCTCTATTCCCTCTGTCATCTCCTCACCAATCCAAACAAAGGAAAAGGTGAGGATACAGGGAATAGATTGGAGGCATGGGATGGATGCATGATTTCCTCGTCTTATCCTCTCATTCCATTCCATTCCATTCCTTCCCATTGACGAGAGAAGCGACCTGCCATCACCTCACTTTGGTCGGTTTCCCTTGGCCACATCTCTCTATTTCCCTCTCTTCTCTTTATCTCATGTCCTGACGGGTAAGGAATTCATAGGTCAGAGATAAGAGGTCCCAAAGTTGCTGAATTAGGATATGAAAGACACAGGACCTCGCCATCACTCACCATTCCTTCATCCCATGCCTCTTCCTTCGTCAAGGATGTGACTAGGAATGAAAATAAAAGAAAAGACAAAGAGAAATCACTTAAGGAATTCATATCTTCAAGACACAAAGTTATTACAGAAAAGAAAAGATATAAAAGAAACACTAAAAATAAAAGAAAAAGAAAGAAGGAAGATAACTCAGGAACCCACGACCTCTCTCCTCAGCCCTCCCGTTCACCTTATTCACTCACCAATATAATGGTTGCATCTGGGGCTGAGTTAAGATGTCTTGAGTTACCTTCCGGCTTAGAGACCAGTCCAAGCGCTGCATTCATCCACATCTCATGGTCTTTTATTTGCTTTCTTGTGTATTTCTTTTCTCTTGTTTGCTTCATTATCTTTTCTTGTTATTTATGTTTTCATCTTTATTGTTTATTTGCTTTCATTAGTGTTTGTTGAATATTAGATAGTGAGGTTATAGAGTGAAGGATGCCGCTAGGACAAGAGAATGAGATGATAGACCAAGAGAAGAAAGACAAGGAAAAGATAAGGTACGAAGGAACCGTCTATCCCTTTGGTCACGACATAATGTCTAACCTAATGTCCATCAAAGATAGGAGGGAGACGTGTCTATCATCTCTTCCTTCCCTCTCCGTTCACCCACTCTCTCCTTTCGTGTCTATTGGAGAGTTGATAGGGTTAGAGGGAAGGGTTAACAAATGATTGCCTACATCCTAATCCTTCCTACACTCACAGACAAGTCCTTCTATCAATGTCAAATAACCCAAAGAATCTGGAATGGATTGGAGGGAAGGGATAGAATGGGATGGAGAGGGAAGAACAGCCTGGAATGAAGACAGGTCCTTTATCTCCCTTTATCTCTATCACCTTTCTGTAATAGCTTTTGGTCTTATTTTTATTATTTTGCTTCTTTTTGTTTATTATTATAATTCTTTTTAATATTTATTTTATATCTTTCTTTTATTTCTCTTTTCATATCCTTTCCTTTTTATTATCTTTCATTTTTATTAATCTCTGATGTTCAAGGGAAGGAAGGTAGGGTTATATGGCCGGGCTCTTCTTTCATTTCCTTGTCTTTTTAATTCCCAGATTTCTAGGCTTTGAAGTTCATGGATTAATAGCTTTCTCATGTGATTTCCTGTGGAATAATCCTAACGAATGAAAAGGAAAAGGAATGAAGATAAAGGAAAAGAAAGCCAAATATTATCTCTCTCTCTTTATCATTTATTGTTT